TATACATATATACTCCCTTGCACCGTACTCGTCCCTACACAACCACTTCCTTCAATATACATTTGTTTGTACGTACACTGCTTTATTCTTTCATTCAGTACCCTTATTTATGAGCACAGTTGTTTTAAGTTTGTTTCGGCCACACCCAATGATGCTCACCAGGGCTTACTCAAGACTTAGTCCAGGCTCTGCTCAGCAATCACTCCTGGGTGTGTCAAGCACTGTTTTAGGGATAACATTTGAGGCATTGTTTCAGGGATCATCTTTGCTTTTCAGGGAGAAAACAAAACAATCCTACTCTATGGAGTTTGCCATCTAGAAGGGCCAGCCAATATACAAAAATAAGAAAAAGAGTTAGGAGGATGATTGTGTTGAACAGGGTGGTCAGAACAGAATTCCTTTGGAGAAAGTGAGGGAGTTATGTGAGTATCTGGGGGAAGAGTATTCCAGAGAGAAGCCAGTCTATACAACAGTCCTGTGCAGAGCATGTCCACCCTGCCCATCATAATTAAAGGCCATGATCTACTAATTTAAAAAAAGACAATGAGTAGTAGCACTGTAGCACTGTCCTCCCGTTGTTCATCGCGGGCCCAGTAATGTCTCCATTGTGAGACTTGTTGTTACTGTGTTTGGCATATTGAATATATCATGGGTAGCTTGCCAGGCTTTGCCCTGCGGGAGAGATACTCTCCATAGCTTGCCGGCTCTCCGAGAGGGGTGGAGGAATCGAACCCAATTCAGCAGGGCCGGCTGCGTGCAAGGCAAACGCCCCACCACTGTGCTAATGTGCTCCCTGGTTGTCTAGTGGTTAGGATTCAGAGCTCTCACAATGAGTAGTAAAAATTTTTATTTTTCTTATTTGGTCTGGAGTGACAGCACCGTGGTAGGGCGTTTGCCTTGTGCGCAACCAGCCTGACTGAGCTGGGTTCAATTCCTCCGCCCCTCTCGGACCCTGCAAGCTACCAAGAGTATCTCACCCGCACAGCAAAGCCTGGCAAACTACCCCTGACGTATTCAATATGCCAAACACAGTAACAACAAGTCTCAAAATGAAGACATTACTGGGCCCGCTCGAGCAAATCAATGAACAACGGGAGGACAGTGTTTGTTTGTTTGTTTGTTTCCTTATTTACATATTTTTAAATCAGACAACAATCAAAAATTGGCTCCTGATTTATTTTCTGATCATTCTATTTGCTGTTTCTTAAAGTTTTGTTGGAACAGTAATATAAAATCAATTTGTTATGTGCCTAAGGGGGCAGGGATGGCAGGGAAAATGGGGACATTGGTGGAGGGAAGGTCACACTGGTGGTGTTGGAACATTAAATGCCTGAAATAGCTGTATATAATGAATAACTTTGTAATTCACGGTGTGTTTTTTTTGGGGGGAGGGGGGAGGATTGGCTTTTTAGAGTCACACTTGCATTGCTCAAGGGTTATTCCTGGCTCTGTACTCAGGAATTACTCCTTGATGGTGCCAGGGGGACCATATGGGATGCCGGGGATCAAACCCGGGTTGGCTGCATGCAAGACAAATGCCCTACCTGCTGTACTATTGCTCTGGCCCAATCACAGTGTTTTTAATTTCAAAAACTCTTTTTAAAGCAACAGGAAAAAACAAAAAAGAAAGACCGTGATCTATTTGTGTCATGAGAGAGAGTCCTAGAGATGGCAGGGAGAGGGTGAGGGAGAGAAGCACCCATTACAGACACAGAAGAACTGCACTCATTTGTGGAATATAAAGTAACATAATGGGAGACTAACACTCAAGGATAGTAGGGATAAGGGCCAGGAGGATTCCTCCACGACTTGGAAGCCAGCCTCACATGCTGGGGGAAAAGGCAGCTACGAAAGAGAAGGGATCCACCAAGCAAAGGATGCTTGGAGGCCTCGCTTGGGATGGGACATGTGTGCTGAAAGTAGACTATAGACCAAACATGATGGCCACATATTACCTGAATTGCAAACCATAATACCCAAAAGGAGAGAGAGAGTAAAAGGGAATGTACCTGCCACAGAGATAGGGGGAGGATGGGGTGGAGGTGGTGGTGGGGGGAATACTGTGAACATTGGTGGTGGAGAATGGGCACTGGTGGGAGGATGGGTATTCGACCATTGTATGACTGAAATGTAAACATGAAAGTGTGTAAGTCTGTAATTCTATTTCATGGTGTTTCATTCAAAAATTTTTTAAAAAAAGTACACATTTTTATTGTATAGGGCCTGGAAAGGACTTTAACACTTACTGGAAATGGAATAGGAGACTGTCCCAGATTCTAGGTGGTATGATCTGACATAGGGATTAGTAGAATTTCCCTGGATGTTTGGTTTAGAATTAACTGTAAAGGAAGCATGGGTAGGAGAAGGAAGAGAACTGAAGGCTATTACTATAATTCAAGCAAGAGGAGAAAGTGCCTCAAACAAGGGAGGGAGAAGTGGAAGTCTTAAAGGGTCAGATTCTGGGCATGTTTTTAAATGGTCTCTAATGGATTGAGTTTTGGTTATGGGAGAGAGATGAGTCCTTAATGCATTCAAGATTTCTTTAAATTATTTTAAAATTGCATTTATTTATTTGGGTAGGGGGTTGGGCCACACCTGGTGGTGCTTAGGGCCTATTCCTGACTCTGTGCTCAAGAGTGACTCTTGGCAGTGCTCACGGAACCAGATGTGATGTCAAGGATTTGAACTGGGATGTCAGCCCATGTGGCTGCCTGCAAAACAAGTGCTTTACCTCCTATACCATCTCTACAGCTCTGTTTCCAAGGTTTCTGGTGTGTGCAAATAGGAAAACAGAATTGTCCTCAGCTAAGATGGAGAGAGCCACAATTAAAGCAAGTTAGGGAGGAATGATCAAGAATTTCATTGTGCACCAGTGATGTTTGAAAAGTCCCTTAGGCACCTAAGAAGAGATGCCACGTGGGGGTGGTAAACTTCTGGATTGTTAGCATGAAGTTGTAGCCATGAAATGAGATGAGATGATCAAGGGCTATTGTTGGAATAAAGGAGGTAGCCCAAGGGCTGAATACTAGAATTGTCTAAGAGCTGGAGTGGGAGGAAGTTAGAAGAAGCATCAAGAGATATAAGGAACAGGCAGTGACTTGGATGTGATGGAGTCCCAACATCCAGTACTGGGAGTTTTTCAAGCAGGAGGAAGTGACAAACTGAAAAAATAGTGCTGGTAAATAAAACCACTGGCTTCAGTCATGCTGACGTATATGATGACAAAGTTCATTTCAGTGAACTTGACATGAAAGCTGGTTGAGCAAATGCTAGAATTTTGAAAGGAAACACAGATATGAAATATACATCTCCGTCTGAGAGTTTTGCTATAAAAGGAACCAAGGACAGGAGACAGTAGCTAACAGGGAAAGAAGGGGTTAGAAGAAGAAAATGTTACGAAGTGGGAGAAACGGTTTTTGCTAATATTGTAGGGCTGGCACTAGCCGCTAATGAACAGAGAGAGACAGATCAAAATAGGATAGTGAGTTTATTAGAGGCTCAACGCTGAGGACACTAAGTCGAAAGAGAGAGACACTTAGAGCCCGTCTCATGAGAGGGTCTTTTTTTTTTATTCTCTAAGAGTGAGCTATAATCTACAAAAAGAAAAAAAAATGATGAAGTACCTTCCCCAACCTTCAGGTACCCCCAAAAACAAACAAGAAACATCTGTGTGAGTATCTCTTGCCCATTTGGTGTGACCTTCATGTGTCACCTTCCATGCAGTCCCCTAAGTCTGTTGGGCCTTGTGCTCTGCCATTCATCTGGTGGGCCTCTGTCTTACCTGATTAGGGTCACACAGAGCAAAAAGAACTTTTTCTCCCTTCTCTGGCTGACCTTGGTGTTGGTTTCAGTTTCTCAGTTCTCATCAGTTTCATAATTCTCATTACATACTGTTTCTTATTTGCAATTTCTTATTTGTCATTACAATACGGTTTTCATGAAAGAAGGGGTTGTAATATTAAGAAAGAGTTTCTGAAACGATAATCTTGAGTAGGCTTGAAGGAATATCCTCTTTAATATTTATTCTATCAGTCCTACATAAATTTCTTGCCCACTGTTCTGCATCTGGAATGTTAATTTGTCATTCTTGTCATGAGTCCATGGAGAAGTTCCTCTTTCATTTTCACAGGTGCATACTATTCCTTTGGAGGGATATACCACAGAATTTGTGTTGTTTTCTAGGCTTTTGATGCCCCAAGAGATGCTACTGAATAGTTGTACATATGTTTCATCATGTACATTTTAGCCCTTGTTGTTCTTTCAATCTAGACACTGAAGTTCACTATTGAACTAAAAGTTGACTGTCAGCTCTCACTATTTCTAATTTGTGACTTGACTCTTCTGGACTTTCTCCCTTTTCCTTTTTCTTAATTAACTATATAATCAATAAGTTTGCCTTATAATATCAGGTGTATACTTAACCAGATAAAGGGAAAGCTTTTAATCTATTTTCTAGTCATATTAGATCAAAATAATTTTTAGACATACATAGGAACTTCATGAAAAGTGATGTCACACAAAGTCAATAGTAACATTTGGCTCAGGGGGGGGTTAGGTATAATACAGAGTATTGTTCTTTTCTGGTCAACAGAGATACTTTCCCGAATCTTTTCATTAGGACTCTTAATAGAGATCTCCCCTACATCCATGTTCAGAACATCCTGGATCCTCAATCACCTGGTTCCCTCCCCTGCTTTACCCATTAATTTTGGTATCTATGAAAATGATCACTTGTGTCCAGTGTTGTGTCTCAGAGTTACTTGTTTTGTTTTGTTTGGGGGCTCATATCCAGCAGAGCTTGGTGACTTCTTCCAGTTCCTTGATCAAAGATCACTCCCAGCAGTGCTAGTGGGCCTATGTGGTACTAGGGATCAAATATTCTCACAAAGCATGTGCTCCACCCATTGATCTCTATATATCTAGCTTCAAAGTCACCATGTCATAGCTATTATGGCTGTTCAATGTTTCATAATACTCATATTGGTATATTTGTTCCCCAGACCTTTGGAAACACCAAGTCATGAAAGAAAATTTTTCAGTCACGAGACCACAAATAGTCGAAAAATTTATCCAGAGATTAATGGAGAATTACCAGGATGATGGGTTAGAGGTATGTATTAAAAATTAGTCATTCTTGGAGGTAGTTTGGAGGATCCTCCCAGGAGGGGAGATGCAGGTTGAAAGTAGACTGGACTGAACATGTTCGCCACTCAATGCCTCTTTTGCTGATCACAACACCCAAAAGGAGAGAGAGAACAAAAGGGAATGCCCTGCCACAGTGGCAGGGGGGCATGGGGGGATGTGGGGGGGAGGGATATTATCCTGGTGGTGGAAAATGGGCACTGGTGGAGGGATGGGTATTTGATCGTGGTATGACCGAGATCCAAGCACAAAAATTTGTAGATCTACAACTGTACCTCATGGTGTTTCACTAATAATAAAAAAAAATACATATGGTTTCCCCAAAATAAAGGCTTGAGACAAAAAAAAATTAGTCATTCCATAGAATGATTGCACTCATTGGTGAGATATAAAAGACACAATATGAGACTATTACCCATGAACAATAGAAATGACTGGCCCATGGTTGGAAGCTTGTCACTAGTGGGGGGAAAGAGGAGAGGGCAGGTAGGATAAAGGAGAGACAGAGAGAGAGAGAGAGAGAGAGAGAGAGAGAGAGAGAGAGAGAGAGAGAGAGAGAAGAAATTATCTACCATAGAGACAGACTGGGGATGGAAGTGGGGTTGGAAGGAAAGAAATTGGGGACATTACTCAATGACTCTTCTGCAAACCACAGCACTCAAAAGGAGAGAGAGAACAAAAGGGAATGCCCTGCCACAGAGGTAGGGTGGGATGGGGGGAACGGGGGGTGGGAGGGGTACTGGGATCAGTGGTGGTGGGAAATGGGCACTGGTGGAGGGATGGGTATTCGATCATTGTATAACTGAAACCCAAGCACAAAAATTTGTAAGTCTACAACTGTACCTCATGGTGTTTCACTAATAAAAATTTCAGAGAAAAAAAAGGAAATTGGGGACATTGATAGTGGAAAATGTACACTAAAGGGTAAAGGGATGGGTGTTTGAACAGTGTTTGACTGAAACCCAATAATGGAGAACTTTGTTTATTTGACAGTGATTTAATTAAAATTTCCTTTAAAAAAATAGTCTTTCTAGAACCAGAGAGAGAAAGAGAGAGAGAGGAGACAGAGAGAGAGAGAGAGAGAGAGAGAGAGAGAGAGAGAGAGAGAGAGAGAGAACAGGAAAAAAGCCACTTGCTTTGAATATCGTTGTGGTGGCTATACCCTGGTTAAAATTCCCAGCACTACATAGGAACCCCAAACACTGCTAGGGATCCTTTTTGAGAACTGCCAGTGTGGCCCCTTCTCCCCCAAAATTAGTCATTCTGTTTTACTTTTTCTAAGTACAAACAAGAAAAACTTTCTCTCTAATAGATGCCCTAATGCTTCCTTCCTCCCTTAGAATGATGATATAAATACTGAGGCTAAACTTAAAGTAATAATCACCTATTGCCTTCTTTATTTTTAATTTATTTTTTGTTAGTGAATGACTGTGAGGTGAGGTACTGTTACCTACTTACAAACGTTTGTGTTTGCGTTTCAGTCATACAGTGATCGGTTACTCATCCCTCTTTGTTTTTTTTTTTTGTTTGTTTTGTTTTGTTTTTTGCTTTTTGGGTCACACCCAGCTATGCACAGGGGTCACTCCTGGCTTTGCATTCAGGAATTACTCCTGGCGGTGCTCAGGGGACCATATGGGATTCTGGGAATCGAACCTGGGTCGACCACGTGCAAGGCAAATGCCCGACCTGCTGCTGTACGATCACTCCAGCCCCACCTATTGCCTTCTTAATGTTGGGAAAAGGCTGATTCTTTTTTTTTTTTTTTTTTTTTTTTTGCTTTTTAGCTCACACCTGGCAATGCACAGGGGTTACTCCTGGCTCTGCACTCAGGAATTACCCCTGACGGTGCTCAGGAGACCATATGGGATGCTGGGAATCAAACCCAGGTTGGTCGAGTTCAAGGCAAACACCCTACCCACTGTGCTATTGCTCCAGCCCCCAGGAAAAGGCTGATCCTTAATAAATGGGAAATGAATATGAAATATGAGTTTTTTGGCAACATTGCCTAATATTGTTTTTTAATATAAAAATATTTAAAGAGAAACCAAAATAATGTATATCATAACTCAGGAAACATTTGAAAATGAATAGTATGGAGGGCGGGGATAAGGCTCAGCAGTACAGGACGCACCTTGGATGCATGAGCGCCTTTATTCAATCCCCAACAACATCATTTTATTTAAGAGTTATAAATTAAATTAAGTTTTAAATAAGTATAATATGGGATCATGCATGATCCCATATTGTACTTTTTAGAAATTTTAGTGTTTTTTTTATTTTGGTTGGTGTGGGGCGGGGTGAGGGGGGTGTTGTAGAACTCCATATGATCCAGCCATCCTACTTCTTGGCATATGATCCAAAACACAGAAATCTTATTTTAAAAGATGTGTGCATATCTATGTTCATTGCAACACTTAGCCAAAATATGGGAATAGTCCTAATGTTCACTGACAGACACACGAATTATTAAGTTGTGGTATATACACACACAATACAGATCTCATTCCCCTGACCCTGAAAGAGTCTCCAATCATTGGGAAAAGACGAGCAAGAAGAGGCTGCTAAAATCTCAGGGCTAGGAGGAATAGAGATGTTACTGGTACCCACTCGAGTAAATCGACGAACATCATGATGACAGTGATACAGTGATTTACACACGATGGAATATTGTACAGCATAAGAATATATGAAATCTGGGCTAGGGAGCTAGTATAGCCTGACCCTGGCTTGATCCTTGGCACCCCAGATGGTTCCTTGAGTACAGAGCCAGGAGGAAAGCCTGAGCACAGGCAAATGAATGCTAAAAACCTAAAATAAAATGATGGAGAAAATATGAAATCATGTAGTTTGCAGCAACTAGAATGGAACTAGAAGGCATCATGTTAGGTGAAATAAATCAGAGGGAGAAGGACAAGTACTGGATGGTCTCACTCCTCTGTGGAATACAGAGAAACAAAGCAAGGGAATCAACATATTGAATGACAAACTTTGGCCTTTGACAAAAAAAATTACTTTACCAAGCATTTTTGATAAACAGGAGTTGGTAGGGGAAAGGAAGAGGCAGAATCCCAGTCATTGGAAGTGACACCAGGAGAGGGTCTTGGGCAATTTGGATGGTGGTGAAGGTACAGTGACTGTGTGTCATAATCATAAATGCTAAAACTATTGTAACCATGTTACCTAAATTATATAGAATGTGGGGACCTGTGTGTAGCTCAGTGTCTTCTCGTACCTGAAGCCCTGGTTTCAATCCTGGACACAAAGAATACGTAAGATGAAGAAAAGTATGATCAAAAACCTATTCTCTCAGATGGCTAACCTTTCATCCTATGCTCCATCTAAAAGATACCAGTCTCCATAATTTGGGTGTATACTTATCTGAATGTATAATATGCTATGTAAAATATATTGAGCAAAAATAATATACTTATTGTACACAGCACACAGTCCTTGGCATTTTAAACCTGTTTATCTCTAGGAAGTACTCTTCTATATCAAAGAAATAGCTGAAAGGTAGAAAAAGAGAGTATATATGAATATTTGGCCATCACAAGCTTTTAGAATTATTAATAAATCTGCCAGCATAAGTGCATTAGATAGACATGGATTCAGTTTCTTTTGAAATTAAACCTTTAAAAACAATTCCTAAGTAGAGAGATTTGTTCCTTTTAGTGCTAGTGCGGTGGCCACATCCTGCTATGCTGAGGGGCTATTCCGGGATCTGTGCATGGGAGGGGCTGGGGGAAAGGTCACACCCAGTGCTCTAGGGGACATGTGATGCCAGGGAGCGAATCTGAGTCTCTGGCACACAACGTGTGTGTTTAGCGCTTTAAGTCATCTCTGCGGTTCCCAGATAAGCTGGAAGAAACAGCGTTCTGTGAAAGGAGGTGTCAAAAGGAGAGATGTGGCTGTCACCCACAACACAAGGGCTGCTCCAATGACTCAAAATATCTGCAGTTTCCGGAGTCCAGTCTGAGAAGCAAAGGCCACCTGGGGAGGGGCAAGGCCTGGAAAGTGCTGCCCCTGCTCAGTGGAGCCAGAAGCCACTCTGACTAGCTCCCCACAATTCCAACCTTTCTTGTGATGGTTCTCACGACCCCTCTGCTAGTAGACAGATCTCTAAGGGGGGAAAAGCAAACCCCCCTTTGCTGACCTCTAATGAGCCTTGAGGGGAGACCTGGCCAGTTCCATCTCTTTAGAGGAATACAGACCCACCCATGGGATCCTGCTTCTTGCTGGGTGAAATATTCCCGCGCCAGCTAAGTGGGAATGACATTGACCCACTGGTCTGTTTGGAGTCTGCATTGCATTGCACACTGCATTGCATCGGGGTTTTGCAGTGGCCTTAGTCTGAGCCGTGTCTGCTCTGAAAACGAGCTGTTGGCTGAACAGGCTAGAGCACGGGCTGTGTATGCAGGAGGCTAGGATGAAGCCACAGAACTGCTTGGTGCCCAGAGCATTGGCCGCAGCACCCTCTCTCCCTCCATCAAGCTGGGAGGGAGTTGTCTCCAGCAGCAGCAAGTGTGGCCCCCAAGCCAAAGCAAATCAATAGAGAGCTGCAGGAGCCCCCAGGCGCACAATTGCCTATGTCTGGGCACCCCTGTCCAGCTCCGGTCAGGGTTGTGGACCCGGGCATACCAGTCCGCCCCTGGATGGGTCGCCAGCAGTGCAAGGCGAGCTCCAAGTGCCGGCTCCAGTGTGAGCACCCAGTGACTTCTGGCTCTCACAGGAAGTGTTTCTGTGCTGGTGCATTCGCATGGCCAAGTCCAGCTCAGGGTGCGGGTGGAGTCTTGGCTTTCCTTTTTCTCAGAGTCAGCAGCACACTTGGACCATTGTCAGGGACCAGATAGGCCACGCTTACCCCAGTTCCCAGGATGGGGGGTCTCCTGTAAGGTGCCCCTTGCGTGGGGTATACAGGAAGAGGAGCCCCTTCCCCTGAGGGTCTGGCACCGTCAAAGAGTGAAGGTCTCTACTTACTGTTTCTGCAATAGAAATCCCATCAAACTTCTCTGCTTGAGGACCTTTCCAGAAGCTTTAACTTCTTTCAATCAAAGCATGCACTTTCCTTATATGTACATATTATTTCAAATCACATTTTATAATTAGGTTGTATTGCACTGTAGCACTGTTCATTGATTTGCTCGAGCAGACACCGGTAACGTCTCCATTGTGAGACTTGTTACTGTATTTGGCATAGTGAATACGCCGCAGGGAGCTTGTCAGGCTCTGCCATGTGGGTAGGATACTCTCGGTAGCTTGCTGGGCTTTCTGAGAGGGACAGAGAAATCGAACCCGGGTCGGCCACGTGCAAGGCAAATGCCCTACCCTCTCTGCTATTGCTCTGGCCGTATAGGTTGTATTAGAAAATAGAAATAGATGAGTTTGAAAATACACTCTTCATCTTAGGTTCATCAATAGCTATTGTTATTTTGGCATCTTTCCTTCCAAGTCTTATTTATAGCTTTTTTTTTCTATTGATATATAATTTTGTCTTTCTTAATTCTGTCCTACCAGATTTTATTTTTTTACTTTAAATTGAAATTAAATTGCATTTAATATCATGTAAGTTTTAGGTATATGCTTTTTTTTCATCAAAACAAGTTGATTCTGCTGTGACCTTTTGTCCTAGGGTATAGCTCTGTCAATAAGCATACATCCAGAGCATATTTATGTTCCTGTTTAGAATTTCTTGATAGAGACAACCTAGATGAATGCAATGATTTTTTTTCTATTTTAGGCACTTTTGATTGTTTCCATTTTTGTAAGGAAGGATACTATAAGGAACATTGCTTACATATTTTGTGGCAGGTAGCTTTTATTTTTCCTTCAATATAAATTACTAGAAGAGAGTTACTGGGTCCAAGGCCATGCACAGTTTACAATCTTGTGGAGCTTGGGGGGCTGGAGCGATAGCACAGCGGGTAGGGCATTGCCTTCCATGCGGTCGACCAGGGTCCAATTCCCAGCATCCCATATGGTCCCCCGAGCACCGCCTGGAGTAATTCCTGAGTGCAGAATCAGGAGTAATTCTTGAGCATCGCTGGGTGTGACCCTCTCCCCCCCCAAAAAAGAAAAAAAATCTTGTGGGGTTTTTCTTGTTTGGGAAGGAGGGAGGGTGCTGGTGGTGCAAAGTCCTGAAAAACAACTAGATGTGGTTCCTCAAAATCTTTTTTTCATTTTAGGGGAGCATTTTCGTTTGTATTTGCCATGCTGGGTATTGAACCTGGGGCTTCCCTCATACAGGCACATGCTCTACCATTGAGCTCCATCTCCAGCTAAATATTTTCATTTTAATAATTTGTTTTATTTATATACTTATAGTTGGGGTTTACTCAGGGTCCTAGAGTTGCTCGGGGGACCATGTTTGGTGTTGAAGATTGAACCAGGGTCGGTCACATGCAAAACACTCACCTTCATCCCTGTCCGACCTCTCTATTCCTGTGACTTTGATTGATACCCTTTTCTTAGTTAGGACATGAGGACAGGCATTCTATAGGTCTTCATTCATACTCTCATCCCTGACCCTGATGCTCTTCAATGCAGACCCTAGAAAAAGGCTCGGGAGGCTGGAGCTGATAGTTTTCTGAAAGAGGTGGAGCCGGTCTGAGAGCTGAAGCACAGGGGCTCAGCAGTGAGGGCGTTGGTGCGTTGTCACCCTGAAGGCACTTCAGTGAACTCTGTCCCCTTCCTGTCCAGATCTCTTTCAGGAAAGACCACCTCGAGGCCTGCCTCCTTTCCCTGGGTGGTGAGGTGATGGCAAGAGAACGCAGCAACTTTGAGACCTACTCCATGTGTTATGAGCACGTGTTGGAGCACGTCCGTCAGCAGCTGTGTCGCAAGGAGCAAGTACATGCCCAGGGAGACCAGGACTGTGATGGGGAAGGAGCAGGGCAAGGGGTCCAGGGGGCCTCCGAGGAGGAGCAGAGGTCTGGGAGAGGGGTTTCCAGGCAGGAGCTAAGGTGAAGGAGCATACTCCACGTTGCCTGTCCTGTGGCTCAATGTCCCACCCTCAGCCCAAATCAGTCAATGGGGGCGTGGTCTGGGCAGGAAGTGAGGGCCCCCGAGAGGCTGTTTTCAGGACACCCAGTCACGGGTGAGACTTCCTGGAAATCACACCCCACTGGTGTAATCCGAAGGTCACTTCTCCGGTCCTAGGTCCTAGGTCACATACTGTTTTGCGATAGAATCCTCAGAGGTTCCATGTCATTTGTGTGTGTTACTAGGACAAGTGTGAGGATTTGATCTCCCTGCCCCACCCCCAGCATGTTCAGAGCTTACTCCTGGCTCTGTAGTCAAGGATCATTCCTGGAGGGCTCAGGGGACCATATGGGGTGCTGAGGATCAAATCTGAGTCTGCTACATAAAAGGCCTACCTGCTGTAGTATCACTCTTTTTTTTTTTTATTTTTGGGTCACACTCAGTAATGCACAGGGGTTACTCCTGGCTCATGTACTCAGGAATAACTCCTGATGGTGCTCGAGGGACCATATGGGATGCTGGGAATCAAACCCGAATCGGCCACATGCAAGGCAAATGCCCTACCCACTATATTATAACTCCAGCCCCTATAGTATCACTCTTATCCCCGTGTGAGGGGTTGAAAACAATCAGACTTCTGAAAGGTCAAAGAGAGGGACTGGAGAGATAGTACAGTGGAGAGGGTGCCTGCTTTGCATGCTGCTGACCCAGAACTGATCCTCAGCACCCATATGGTCCCTGAGCACAGCTAAATGTGACATAAACACCAACCCCTACCCCCCCCCCCCCAAAAGGGAGGGTCAAGAGATGGTACAGAGTTAAGGCACATACCTAGCACTCACCAGACCTGATACAATCCCCAGCACCATGAGGTCCCCCAAATATTACCAGGTACAGCTGGAGTTCCCTAGCACCGCCATCACAGGGCCCGAGCAGCACCACATCCTTGAACCTTGCACTGAAGCACCAGCTGGGTTGCCTAAGAATGACAGGAATGGTCCCCCAGCCCCTGAGCATGCTTGAAATATTCCCTGTGCCACACACCAACCACAAAACAAAGGGCAGAGCATGTGTCTGGGCTCTTCCCCTAGGCTGGCTTCTCCCTGCTAAGGCGTCTAATCAGTGTGGCTGCTGGAAGCTGATGGTGGTGTGGGGGCACCCTCAAGACTCAAAGGGACAGCAAGCACTGTCTGGGCTCCAGGTGGAACCGTGAATCTCAAATGAGTGGTCCCTTCACACAAACCAGAGGGGTCTGCAATAGGAGGCATGGTTAGGAGAACAAAACCCGTTGTTCGTGCATTGTGTTTCCTCCGTAGGAACTGGCTGTTAGTCGAAGAGGTCAGAATCCGCCTGGAGATGATGCGAGTCAGGTGGGTCACCTGTTGCCAGACAGGTCTCTCTGCCCTGTCTCCAGCCATCCTCCCTCATGGGTCAGAAATGGGACTTCTTTGCTTAGTTTTATTTGAAGGCCACCCCAGTGCTCACCCGGGTGTGGGTCCAGACATCAAAGCATGGGCTCTGACTTGTCAAGCTTGTCTCCGGCCCCAAGGAATGGGATTCGTTGAAGGTGCACTGGAGGTTTCATCTTTAGGAAGCAATGAAGGATTTTTTTGTGTTTTCATTTTTGGATAGCATCTGTGTTTTACTTTGTTGATGTTGTTTGTTTGTTTATTTGGACCACACTCAGCAAGCTCAGGGCTAACTCCTGGCAATGCATTCAGGAATCACTCCTAATGGGCTCAGGGGACTATATACGATGCAAGGCAAGTGCACTATAGTCTGCACTATCACTCAGGACCTGTTTCTGTTTTTTTCCTTTGTGTTGTTGTTGCTAAAATTATTTGTTTCCTTTGAGGACAGTGAAAGTACATCCCAGGGGAGAGAGGTGTAGATTAAGGAGTGAGGTGGGGCAAATTTAGAGATGGGGCCGGGTCAGGGTGAAAACGACATTGCTGTGTGTGGAGAGTCTCCTGGGATCATCCAGCAGCTCTTTACTGGTCACTGGCTCCGTGTCGGGGATCATTCTGGAATCTGTGAGCCCCTTTAGATTCGTCCACCCCCATTTGTCCCACAGGAATTCAGTTTCTTTGTTAGAGTCAAAATAAAAGTGCATGTTCAATACTGACAGAAAGGGGTTGGAGTGGTAGCACAGTGGGTAGGGCATTTGTCTTGCCACAGCTGACCTGGCTTCGATTCCCAGCATCCCATATGGTCCCCTGAGCACTGCCAGGGGTAATTTCTGAGTGCAGAGCCTGTGCATAGCCAGGTGTGACCCCTCCCTCCAAAAAAAATACTAACAGAAAGAGCTGTTTTGTAAGTTTGGCATTAAACCTGTCTGGAATACCTGAATCATTTTTTATTTGAAAATATATACTTGGGGACCAGAGAGATAGAATGGCAGTTAAGGTGATTTCCTTGCATGTGGCTAACCCTGGCTCAATTGCCAGCACCCCATATGATCCCCCATGCACTACCAGGAGTGATCTCTAAATACAGAGACAGGACTAGACTTGGTACCCCTGGGTTTGATGTGGCCCCCAAAGAAACAAAAAAAATGCATTTCTGGACAGGAATGATAGCTCAAAGGACAAGAGTGCTTGCTTTGCATGTGAGAACCCTAGGTTTGATCTCAACACCACATGATCTCCCAAGCACCACAAGAAGCAATCCCCAATCACTGTGTGGTGTGGGCCTCCATCCTATATATGTGTCTTTGTGTGTGTGTATGTGTGCATAGTAACATTCATATTTATTATTTAATTAAATATATTCTATCTAATTATTTTAATAGGCATTTCTATTTAATTATAATATTGTATGTGTGTGAAATATTATCGTTCAATATATACACCTAGGTTGCAGAGCTCAGTCATAGTATGATCATGGAAATCACTGCTCTGAGAGCCCGCCTCACAGATTTGGAAGAGGAGAATCTGAATCTCAAAATGCAGATTAGGAAAGAAGTCCAAGAAGAATATGAAGGACTGGTCCGAGCTTTGTTCACGATGTGTTTGCACATAAAAGTAAGTTGGAGGAGCCACAAGGCATACCCGACCCCACAGCAGTTGCACTTGTGGCCATTTGTGGGAATAAGATCTCCTCGGACCCAAGAATGTGCCAGTGCTCAGCTTTTGCTGAAGAGTTAAGTCATCCATGAGTTGTCATGATTTTACCACAATACATCATGGTTTGGGAATCACTGGCCCTGGCTGTTTCAGTGGCAGTAGCCATGGTTGAGGGAAGGGGTCTCTGCTTAGCCACTTCAGTCTCTTCTCCTGTGCTTCTGCCTGGTGAGCACAGCAAGGAGAGCTCAAGGGCCCTGGGTCAGAGGCAGCAGTGCAGACAACTGTAGGCATCTTGGGAGTTGCAGACTCAGAACCAGAGTTTTCCAACCCTCCAGTAGCACCTGCCTGTCTCCCAAACCCAAGTCAGGGAGCCACTGACCGGTCAGTCAAGTTCCCTCCAGGGGGACGGGGTGCTCCCAGAACAGGGGAGCCCTATCATGATGTCCAAGTAAGACAGAAAACACAGGGCCAGAGAAAAAACTCAACAGGCTAAGCACATGCCCATGCTGCATGTGGGAGATCAGTCCCCAGCACTCATGGTCAGTTCCCCTGAGTGCTCCCACGAACGACCTCTGAGCATTGAACCCTGACAGCTGTGGCTCAAAAACAAAAGAGAAACTGAAAAGACAAACTTCTCCGGCTTGAAATGAACCTCAAGGAGCCTGTCCAGTGGCCCCAACAAGCATGAATTTTGGTAAAAATTCAACCACCACCTTCATACATACACACACACACACACACATGCCTGGCTACAGTGTTCACAGTCCCTTCCCTGCTGTTGGATGCCTCCCAGCCAGCCACTCTAGGTCCTCCTCTCTCTCTCTCCCCTGGTGTGTCCCATCATGAATCCTGGACTTGTTACTTAGAGAGCACTGCCCTTGACCTGCTTGTTCCAGAGAAGACTGGAGATGCCTTCCTTGATTTTTGGTTTGGGGGCCACACCCAATCGTGCTGGGGCTTCCTGCATATACAGCTGCCTTCAGCCCACTGAGCTCTCTCTCTAGCTTCTCCTGTTTTTTTTTTTTTCTCTTTGTAGTGACTTTGTTTGGATTCCCTCCCCCTTTCCTTCATTGTTGTTGTTGATGTTATTTGACCAGGGATCAGCACACACACACACACACACACACACACACACACACACCTGACTATAGTGCTCACTGGCATGCCACAGCAGGTCACAGTGTTCGCACACTCGCCGCACTCCTTTAGCTGCAGAGATGTGCTCGACAGAAATTGCACTTGCTAGCCAAAGTGCTGGCACTTCTTTTTTTTTTATTATTATTATTATTAGTGAAACACCATGAGGTACAGTTGTAGACTTACAAATTGTTGTGCTTGGGTTTCACTTATACAATGATCGAGTACCCATCCCACCACCAGTGCCCATTCTCCACCCCCACCAATCCCAGTATCCCTCCCACCCCCCCATCCCCCATCCCACCCTGCCTCTGTGGCAGGGCACTCCCTTTTGTTCTATCTCTCCTTTTGGGTGCTGTGGTCTGCAGAAGAGACATTGGGTGGCAATCATGTTCGGTCCATAGACTACTTTCAGCAGGCATCTCCCATCCTGGGCAGATCTTCCCAGCACCCTTTATTTGGTGCTCCCTTCTCTATCCAAGCTGCCCTTACCCTAGAGTGTGCAGCTGGCCTCTAAGCCATGGAGTGAACAACCTGGTATTTATCACAGCTGTTCTTGGGTGTTAGTCTCTTATTTTGTTACTTTATGTTACCCAGATAAATGCAGTCTTTCTATGTCTGTCCCTCTCTTTCTGACTCATTTCGCTTAGCATAATATTTTCCATGTAGTACCACTTGTATGTAAATTTCGTGACTTCATTTTTTCTAACTGCTACATAGTACTCCATTGTGTAGATGTACCAAAGTTTCTTTAACCAGTCATCTGTTCTTGGGCATTCAGGTTTCTTCCAGTTTCTGGCTATTGTAAAGAGTGCTGCAATGAACAAACAATTGCAGATGTCACTTCGACTATACATTTTAGCCTCTCTGGGGTATATTCCCAGGAGTGGTATTGCTGGGTCAAATGGGAGCTCAATTTTTAATTTTTTGAGAGTCGTCCATACTGTTTTCCAAAAGGGTTGAACCAGCTGGCACTTCTTTTTTAAGTTGAGATGCTTGCTGGGAGTTGCATCCCTTCGTGGCACTCACACACAGCTGGCTGTGGTGCATCTGGAAGTTGAGTATGGCATTGGGGGGTCACAGACTGCAGATCTTCCAGGATTGTGCTTGACGTATAAAGAGCACTGGAGATTTGAACTCATGACCAGACGCTTGCAAGGCAGGTACCCTAAGCTACTGTGCTATTCGGTCACCAGAGTTTTCTTCTCACTTGTGGAAAGTTCACGAAGTACACAGACCGTAAAGGATCAAACAAAAGACCAAAACCAAAATGCATAGGACTGATGCTAGGAGAGAAAGGTGGGCATACAGTTGAAACTTACAAAACTATCTCTGAAGTATGAGACTATTGATTTTTCTCATGTTCTTTTTACCTTGTTAGAATCTGAGACAAAAAGTGAAGTTTCCACTTATCCCAGTTGAACACAGGCCCCCAGAGCAACAAATCTCTATTCTAACCTCCAGGCTCCCCAAAACTGTGTGCCCACACTATCCTGCTTGCCTTTCCAGAGAAGTGGGTCCAAAATGAGAGGACTTCCTCCACTTCCCCTCCCCCAAGGTGGCTGGGTTTCCAGTTGCACTGAGCAGTGATCAAGCTATTTCTCCCTAAGCCAATTAACTCCATAAACCATTCAGAACTGGCCCTTTTGTTACTGCATTTCTGCAAAAACGGAAAGTGGCCCACTGGGTTCCTTCCTCTTTCCATCTATTTTTAATGGAGTTCCTTATTAGTGACTAATGCACAGTGTTGGATCTGCTCAGATTCTGCTGACTCAACCCAACAGTCCAAAAGCCTAGTTTAAATTCCCTTCTAACCCTTTGGGGAAAGGGACACAATTGTATCTTCCACATTTGACCTCTACTCTGCCACACTGGTATCTGCCTGCCCAGTCTGGCCTCTAGCAGTGTCCACACGATGGGTCCCTGAGGACCAAGGCAACACAAACGCCCTGCTCTCCCCATGAGATTTCCCCACCATATGGGATGGAATTGCTGTTGGGGTGGATGCTGCTGGAATGTGAGATCATTTCTGAAAGTTGGGCTTGGGATGCCAAAATGACTACCCCCACCGCCCTTCCTGAACTTGAGTCTGCAATGTGCAGGAGAAACTGGACGAGAATCAGCTGCATTTGATCCAGAAAGTGTGTGAGCTCATCGGCGAAGTGAGGACAGAAGGGATTGACCATTTGAAGGGCCTCAAGGAAAAATGGGGCTCAGCCAGACCTGATGAAGCAACGAAAGAAAACGCAGCCAAAGTACGTGACTGCCCTTTGTGGTGGGCTGCCAGCCTTTCCTCCCAGCTCCTCACCCCACCGCCCACTCTGTTGGCATTCAGGCCATTTTCCCTAAGAAAGTATTACATCAGCACTGAAAACGGCTGGGAACATCTGAGACGTTGCAGGCTGGGAGTTGATATCAAAAATGTTGTTGTTGTTGGGGGGGGGGGGGAGGTTGGCTCTTGCCTTGCATGTGGCCAACCCCAGTTCAGTCCCCTGAGACACATGTGAGTCCTGGAGCACTATCAGGGCTCACTCCTGAGCATGGAGCCAGAAAGAGCCCCTGAGCACTGCCAGGTGTGTTCCCCAATAAAAAAATTAAAAGGACTCTGGGGCTCAATGGAGTCATCTGCGTTCCAGGACTCCAACATTCAGATGTTAGGGTCCTGGAAAAGGGCTGGAGGATGCCTTTTCTGACAGTGGGTCTTCCTGAAAGGAGCAGCCGTGGACACTGGAGAAGGATGACAGCCGCCTGGCAGGCGTGGTGAGCAAAAGGAGGAGCCTGGGCCACTGGCGGCTGGCTGTGCAGCAGGCACGTTTCCAGGGCCAGCTGAGCAGGGCACAGAAGGTGAGTCCCTAGGAAGGGGGGCCTAGGCAGGGGAGGGGGAGCAGCACCCACAGCTGCGGTGGCTACACCCATCTGTGGCAGGTGGCAAGACCTGTGATCTCAAAGCAGCCAACAGTTGGGGGATTTTCCATGTCTGCGCATCCTGGAGGAGAAAAGAAAGAGCCGCCACACAGCAGATGGCAAAGCATTAACAGGGAGTGCAGATCCGGGAGCTTAGCAGGAGGGAAATGGAGAGTGGTGGGAGACCACATTGAGCTTGAGGCAGCTTTGCCAAAATATTGCAGATGAAAAAAAAAAACATGGTGGAGGAAAGTGAAGTTGCAAAACAGTGCCTGGAAAGTGCTGGAAGGGAACTTGAAACCAACGCTGCTGGGAAACTCTCACTTACTGATTCTGAAAGTCTGTCTTCCAGTCCTGGAGGTGGGGACCTGCAGGAACTCAGTGGTGATTTAGATCCCAGCTTCTTAAAGTGTGAATTGCTACCCCACATGGAGTTACATAAATTTCTTAAACTTAGTTTTTAAAAGGGAGGGTTACAGGGGAGGGTAAAGGGGAAGCTTATAGGAGGATGGTTGTGGGGAATTATAGGGGTAGGTTTGTGGGAGAGGATATTGGGGGGATGTTTGGGGGGAAGGTTACAGGGGAGGGTTATAGGGGAAGGTAAAGGGGAGGGTTACAAAGGAGGGGCTGGAGCGGTAGCACAGCAGGTAGGGTTGCATGTGGCTGACCCGGGTTCGATTCCTCCATCCCTCTTCAGAGCCCGGCAAGCTACCAAGAGTATCCCGCCCGCACGGCAGAGCCTGGCAAGCTACCCGTGACGTATTTGATATGCCAAAAACAGTAACAAGTCTCACAATGGAGATGTTACTGCCCATGGGACAACAGTGCTACAGTGCAGTTTTTAAAAAATGTTCTAGTAGTAGACTAGAAGTGACTTGGACTCTTTGGTGGAGGAGAGATGAGGTAACTGAACACCAAGACCATCGATATCAGCACCACTGGAATATCACCTGAACTAGAATAAGTGTTTTTTGTAAAGGTTTATGCCAGGGGGCTGGAAAGAGATAGTAGAGTGGGTAAAGTGCTTGCCTTAAATACGGTCAACCTGGCTATGATCCTCAGCACCACATAAGATCCCGAGTATATATGATGCTAAGGATTATTAGGAGTGGTCCTCGAGATTCACTAGGAGTTATCCCTGAGTACAGAGCCAGGAGTCCGCCCTGAGCAATGCAGAATGTAGCCCCAAAACAAACCAACCAAACCAAGAAAACATCATAAGTAAGCCTAGAGCACTGCTGGTATGGCTCAAATAGTTTTCAAATTAAAAAATTTTGTGTGGGGGCTGGAGCACAGCGGGTAGGGCATTTGCCTTGCATGCCGCTGACCTGGGTTCGATTCCCAGCATCCCATATGGTTTCCCAAGCACCGCCAGTAGTGATTCCTGAGTGTAAAGTCAGGAGTAACCCCTGAGCATCGACGGGTCTGACCCAAAAAGCAAAAAAAAAAAAAAAAAAATTGTGTGATTTATTATCAATGAATGCTTGGTTTAAAAATCTATTTTATACACCTTTGTACCTGGGATCACATACACATTTCTAAGGTGGTAAGGGGCTGGAACAGTGGAGGAGGGAAGAAGGCAGTCTGGTGGAGGGTGTGGTATTGGCACATTGTATGAGTGAAACCCTAGGAGGGAAGGAAAGTAACTGAGGGAGGGGGGGAGTAACAAGTGGAGGAGGTAATTGAGGCAGGAGACAGGAGTGCCAGGCCTCAGGGGGTGTAGAGTGTGATATATCTATCTGATTGAACACAGAACCCAAAAAAATCAAAAGCATGAGATCCAAGCTACAACAACCAAACTTTAAGATGGGCATGTCAAGAAGGCAGGCAGGTGGGTGAAAGAGAAAATGGGGACATAAGTATAGGGAAATTGACACTGGCTATGGGGTTAATATTCAAACATTCTATGCCTAAATCTCAACTGTGAATTACTTTGTAAATTACAGTGCCCTAATAAATGTTTTCTTGAAAAGTAACCCCATGGTGAGCAGTATTGTAAATCACTAAGATTAAAAACTCATTTTGAAAATAAAAGAAGTGGTGAGTGGAAAAAGTTTAAGAAGCTCTGATTTAGATCAGAGTTGTAAAAAGTTTAAAATGTGTAGAGGTTGGAGATACAGTCAGGCACTTGCCTCATACCTGGCCCATCTGGTTCAATTGCAAGCACCACATATGGTCCCCTGGGCATAGCCAGGAGTGATTCCCAAGTGCAGAGCCAGGAGAATGCCCTCAGAACAGCTGGTTGTGTCCTACCCCTTCCTCCCTACAAACAAACCCCACCCATGTAGACACTGTTCGGAAACGGGGGCATTTTGATCTTGGTATGTTCACATGTTCGCAGGAAGCTGTTGAAAGCAGAAAGGAGTGTTTGCGTGTGAAGCTGATGGCAGAGCAGGAGGCGCTCCTGTTTCGTCAGCAGTTGCTGGCTCTGAGGCAGGCCCTGGCCAGGGCTCAGGCTGAGAACGTGAGGACTCTCAAGCAACAGGAAGATCAGGTAGGGACCTCAGAACTTCTCTACTTCCTCTCCTCTCATAAGCTCCGCATAGCCCTAAGGATGTTTGGAAACTGCAACCCAAAAGGGTTACCAGAACTCCCCAGCAGATGGCATGGCCAGAAAAAGCTGCCAGGCTCTTGGCTTCCCTTATCCTCCATCCTGTCCCATCCAGAAACCAAGGACAGTGACCAAAAGATATTTGTTCTTAAAAGAATTTGGCTAAGATGGTATAAACTATTGTATACAATGCAGATTGTGGTGTGTGTGTGTGTGTGTGTATGTATGTTCATGTGAGTGTGTGTGTGTGTGTATGTGTGTGTTTCTCTAAGGATCTTTTATTTGGGGCAGAGGCTGGTTTGGGGTCCACACCCAGAAGTGCTTAGGGCTTACTCCTGGCTCTGTGCTCAGGGGTCACTCTTGGTGGTGCTCAAAGGATCAACTGGGAAGCCAAGGATTGAACCAAGCCCAACTAGATGCAAGGCAAGCTCCTTAACCCCTGTGCTATCTCTCCAGCCCTCTTTTCCCTTTTTAACCATGTGGAATATGCCTTCCTAAAACTTATTTTGGCAATCAAGGCAGAGACAAGAATAGAGCCTCCCTCCTCTTTGCCTGTATTACATCACTCTGTCTCCACAGGCACAGCAGGATAAAGGTTCCAAGACCAAGGATGAAAAATATCCTCAGCTATTTGATTCATAAGCTAATATGCATATTGCCATCAAACTTTGGTGTTTTTTTAAAAAAATAAAAACAACAAAGCATTTGATGTTGCTATGAAGTGCCATTCTCAGTGGCCTGCCTGGTGTGTAGGGGCAAATTCTCTCATTCCTTTCGATTCTTCTCAATCTGATTGAGCAAATTCACATTAGGCAGAAGGATGCCCAGATTCAAATTACATATGTATAGAGAGTTTCCATGACCGTAAATCCTAGAGTAAATGCAACCGAGTAAAAATTTATATATGAGCTAAGGGTTACCCAGGGGTTGGGGTTGGGGTGGGGGGTTGCATGTATCATATGAGCAGGAAGGGATGTTTGTCCTGCCTTGACAGCTTTATCTCTTAAACTGGGGAGATAGCTTGACAGGTGAGAGTGCAAGCCTTGTATGTGGGAGCCCTGATCAACATCCCCAGCACCATGTGGTCCCCCAACCAGCACCTGGAGAAAAGCCTCTGCAGCACTGTTGCAGGAATAACCCTAAACACTGCTGAGTGTGGCCCAAAGCCCACCCTCAAGCCCCACAGAAAAGGTTTCTTTGATTACTAATTTTTCAGTGAAGTAATTTCTGGGAGTCAGAGGGATAGTACAAAGGTTTAGATATTTGCTTAGCATGAGGCTGCGGGTGTGACCTGGTTCAATTTGCACCACTGTATGTGGTCCCCTGAGCAACACCAGAAGTGGCCAAGAAATGGAAAACTCCCCCCCCCCCTGCTCCCATTTCCCTGTCTTTCCATCAGCGTGAAAGACACAAACTGTCTCTAGTGCCATATAAGCTCATTATCGGCCATGACCTAGAGACACACAAATAAATTTCAGAAGAGAGCCACAAGCTGCAGAGATGCCTCCAGACCCCAAAGTCATTTCCAGTTTTATCAGCCTAATTAAAATTTTAGAATTTCGAGACTGGAGTGATAGTACAAAGGATAGGGTGTTTGCCTTGCATGCGGCCAACCCGGATTCCATTCCCAGCATCCCATATGGCCCTTTAAGCACTGCCAGGTGTAATTCCTGAGCACAAAGCCAGGAATAACCCCTGCACATCGCAGAGTGTGATCCATAAAAACAAAAATAAATTAAATTAAATAAAATTTTAGAATTCCTGGAGCACATGGCCACACAAGATTTCATACTCTACTATACTGATGTACCAAGAGTAGCACACATTTGATGGGGTGTAAGGGAGAAGGCAATCAATCTCAATAATAAATAAATAAATAAATATTAGCACACAAAGCTCAACATGTAACAACATGTTAGCAACCTCTTATACAAGGGCTTAATGGCTCCAGGGTGAGACACAACAATCTTCACACATTTTCCTTTTAAGAAAACTTTTTTGAATTATTTTTAATGGACTATTCATAACAAGCAATACCAAATAAATTATTTAGGATCTGCCTTAAGCGCAGACTTGGGTGGTGGTGGGAAAATTTGAAACAATGGTGACAGAAAGGTGTAATGGTGGTGGGATTGGTGTTGGAATATTGAATGTAATAGATTATTGTGAACACTTTATAAAATAAAAGAAAAAATTCCCCCACCAAAAAAGAGAAAGAAATGGCCCAAGAGCACAACAGAGCCAAGACTGCCAAGTCTCTATCACCTCCTTTACCCCCAACCTCCCAAAATAAAATAATTTCTGAGGATGATCTAAATCTGTATAATCTTTCTCTGGTTTTTCTATGCCATCCTGATAAATCTGAATGCCACCCTGATTAATATAGACGGTCTTGATGATGGCAGTCACAGCAATGGGCAGCACCACCCTGAGCCCAAGGTCATCCTACACAGCCCAGACCCTGAGCCCCTAAGAGGAGAGGGCAATCAGGTGTGCTAACTTTCCATTCCCTGCCTTCTGCTGAGAAGAAAACCTCTGACCTTTTCTTGACACAGGCACAATTGCTAAGAGAGCTTGAACACAGATTGACCCAGGAAACTCTCCACCGGCAACAAATGGATTTAATAAAAACCGCCAGCATGGAGAAGCTCTTGGAAGACTTGGAGCACAAAGAACAGTGTCTGCAGCTGCTTACTGAGCAGGCTGAGAGGGCTTCTAAACTGGGCCAGTTGCAACAGAAGAAAATCCAGAGAGAGCTTCGTCAGGTAATGCCTATGAAAGGTGGAGCCATCGAGAGGCTGAGAGCTGAAGTTACAGTGGGTTTTTTATTTATTTATTTATTTATTTATTTATTTTTTTTTTTTTACAAATATGTTATTTTATGAAGGAATTTTTTTTTTACAGTTGTAGATTTACAATTTTTTGTGTTTGGGTTTCAATTATACAATGATCAGATACCCATCCCTCCACCAGTGCCCATTTTCCACCACCATGGATAATATCCCTCCCACCCCCATCCCCCCATCCCCCCCTGCCTCTGTGGCAGGACAATCCCCTGTGTTCTCTCTCTCCGTTTGGGTGTTGTGGTCTGCAAAAGAGGCATTGAGTGGCAAACATGTTCAGTCCATAGTCTACTTTCGACATACATCTCCCCTCCTGGGAGGATCCTCCAAACATCCTTTATTTGGTGCTCCCTTCTCTATCTGAACTGCCCTTTCCTCTAGGATACCCGGCTGGCCTCTAAGTTATGGAGTAATCCTCCTGGTGCTGATCTCAGCTATTCTTGGGTATTAATCTCATACTTTGTTACTTTATATCCCCCAGATGAATGCAATCTTTCTATGTCTATCCCTCTCTTTCTGACTCATTTCGCTTAGCATGATACTTTCCATATTGTACCACTTCTATGTAAATTTCATGACTTCATCTTTTCTAACAGCTACATAGACTTAACATTGTCAAAATGGCAATACTACCGAAAGCATTGTATAAATTCAATGCAATCCCTATAAGGATACCCATGACATTCTTCAAAGAAATGGAGCAAACACTCCTGAAATTTATATGGAACAATAAGCCCCCACGAATAGCTAAAGCAATTCTTGGGAAAAAGAAAATGGGAGGAATCAACCTCCCGAACTTCAAACTGTACTACAAAGCAGTAATAATTAAAACAGCATGGTACTGGAACAAAGGCAGAACTGCAGACCAATGGAACAGCATTGAATACACTGACATCTCCCCTCAATCATATGCTCATCTAATCTTTGATAAAGGTGCAAGTAATGTGAAGTGGAGTAAGGAAAGCCTCTTTAATAAATTGTGTTGGCATCATTGGACTGCTACATGCAAAAAAATAGGCTCAGAACTCTACAGTGGGTTTTAAGTGCAGAGACAGCAGAAGCCATAGCTGGGGCCCTATATGGGGCAAAGTAAGTGCCTTAAACCCTGTACTTTATTTGTGCAGCCTGTTATACCTAGCTTCTTAAGTGGCATGTCAGGAACCTATAGGGTAGGGGTGGTGAAAAATTTGGCAACAATATAAAGGGTTCAGGATGTGAAACAACCAGCAATTAATTTACATAGTGAATTGGAGGTATTTTCTATTGCATTTCTCAGCAAATAAGAAGCCTTGCTGTAGAAACCAGAGAGATAGTACAGCAGGTAGGGTGCTTGCCTTGCACACAGTTGATCTGGGTTTGATCCCTGGCACTCCCATGGTCCCCAAGTAAGCCCTGGCCACAGCCAGATGTGGCACCAACCCTCTTCCCCACCACCAAAAAACAAACAAACAAACAAACAAACAAAAAATAGGTGCTGGGGCAGACATGCTAACTCAGACAACCTGATAAACACTCTCTGGGCCTCCGGCTGGGAGACTCTGGACACATCCATGGCCACTTTGAGCTTCTGTGGTCTACCAGCATCAGGGAAGCGAATATGCTTTTAGCTCATGGGATTTGGGATGGGATTTGGTCAGGCAACTCAAGTAAAACACAAGGATGGAGACAAGGATGGAGGCTTAACTGCTCTTAACCACCCATGGGCTGTTGAGATTTTTGAGACGAAGGTGGGTATGCTTTGGAGATAGTTATGGCCACACTTGGATTTCAAAGTCTGGCTCTGCTCCTAACTGGTCATGTGCCTAAGCAAGTCACCAGGCTGGTCTCTATGACGTAGAATCAGGCTGTATGAAAAAAGTCTTTATTACACGTTTGTTTTGTAGCTTATCTTTTCCACACAGATTTATTCCTAGTCTGGCTCAGGGAGTCTTACTATGTCTCCCCTAAATAACATCTATGGGAAGGAGGATCTAGACATAAATCCTCCAGAGCCAGAGAGAGTTTGGGTTGAGTTTATATGAGAATGTTTTCCTAACTTTGAGACCTTCAGCTATTGCAAGTTCAGTTGCAGGGAGCAACTATGCACTCATGAAACTTCGCCCCTTAGCATCCATATGAAAACCTCGTGAGAAAGAACAGGATTTAAAACACATATGGCTCCCTCTTTTGCAGACCACAACACCCAAAAGGAGAGAGAGAACACAGGGGATTGCCCTGCCACAGAGACAGGGGGGATGGGGGGATGGGGGTGGGAGGGATATTATCCATGGTGGTGGAAAATGGGCACTGGTGGAGGGATGGGTATCTGATCATTGTATAATTGAAACCAAAGCACAAAAAATTGTAAATTTACAACTGTAAAAAAAAATAAAATAAAATAAAGGGAAAAAAAAACACATATGGCTGACTGTTTGCATAGGCCTGTGTATTTGTTTCCTAGGGCTGCCAAAACAATCCCAGCTGAGTAGCTTTAAAACAACCCATTTCTGAACAGGTGGATAGGGTGCTTGGCTTGCACACGGGCCAACCTGTGTTCAAGCCCATAACATTTATAGTCCCCTGAGCCCTGCCAGGAGTGATCCCTAAGCACAGAGTCAGGAGCACAAAACCCAAGCATTACCTGATGTGGCCCCAAAAGCAACCAGATAAACAATAAGCAATCAATCCATTTTTTCCTTTCATGGTTCAGGAGGCCAAATTTATGAAATCAAGCATTGGTTTCTTCAGGCCGCTATGGAATCATCTGCTCCAAGCTTCTCTCCTTGCTTCCAGGGACCACCTACAATCCTGCCACTCCTTGATTCTCACTACACCTTGCTTCCATCCCTGCTTCTTTCAGTGTATGGCATTCTCTGAGTACCTGTGTGTTGTACCCTCTCCTCTTCATCTAAGGACATCCATCAGCCATTGGATTTTATGCTGGTCCTTAACCCATCTTACACCTACAAAATTTCCAGTCCCTTAAAGTCACACCTTGGGGTGAAGGAGGAACAATGAAGTTTAGGAGATCACTATTAAACACACCTTACTATCATTATCATTTTCATCATAGAAAGTAATGAGAAGAAGCTGGAGCGATAGCACAGTGGGTAGGGCATTTGCCTTGTATGCGGCCAACCCGGGTTAGATTTCCAGCATCCCATATGGTCCCCTGAGCACCACCAGGAGTAACTCCTGAGTGAAGAGCCAAGAGTAACCCCTGTGCATAGCTGGGTGTGACTCCCCCCCCCAAAAAAGAAAGTAATGAGAAGATGATCAAAATAAAGACTGAAGGAAATAAGCAGTGTGGTCTATGTAGACACATGCACCTAGTCCCTCTGATCCTTTGGCCAGGGTCAATGGGTCAGGGACCATGAGAGAGCAAAGGGGCTGATACAAGGCTTCCCTTGAACTTAGGTCTGGATCAGGCTTGGGAAAGTGCTTGGAGCATCCCCCACAGGTGAGAATCTGAGCATAGAGTTTTGGGAGAGAATATGTTTCCTCTGCTTGAAACTATCCAGTGGCCCTGGGTTCTTGTAGTAGGAGCATGGATTTGTCTAGAACAGTGTTTCTCAACCTGTTTTCCAACCATGGCCCCCAACTGATATTTCTTTCTTCTTTCGTCTCCGTCTTACTGGTTGGCTCCCTTTCTTGCACTCTGGCCCTCTACTGACATGATTTTCATCTACAGCTCTTTGGGGAATATCCTGGAGGCTCACGCCACATGGCCTTGGTTGAGAAATGATGATCTAAATACTTCAGGTGGTGTGTGTGTGTGTGCATGCACTCCCCATCACCTCTGGTAAAATAAGCTTTAGTGGGTAAACTACTGACTATAATACAGTAAGAAAGGTTTCTAAACTTTTTCCTCTTTGGGAAACTCTTGTCCTTCCTGGGATCCTTGACTCTCAGAAGGATGAGCTAAGGGTATTGTCTTGACCAGGACTTTGTTAAGACTTGATTTCCTAGGGAGGTGAGCCCGCCACTCTTCCCAAGACCATAGGAATTAGATCTATGCTCCCAAAAAAAAGCATCTCTGATTCCCAAACACTCTCTCCCTCAGACAAGAAGCCGACTTGCTCAGGAGCATAGCTTGAAGCTGGATGCTTTCCAGCGTGTGGAAGAGCTACAAAGTCAGCTTAATGATGCCCAGTCGTCCATTCATATGAGCTCACCAAGTGGTAAGGATCCCCCTCCTCTGCCTAGAACAAGCCCTCAGGGTCCACAGTCTGAACTGAAGGAGGAATTTGTGATGATAATAGCCCAGTGGTTATTGAGTGGTTGCTTCCTCGTGAATATTGATTGCACAAATTTCACTCTGATCAGTAGTCCAGACTTTCTACTCTAGTTCACTTGGAGGACAAGTGTCCGATACAACAAAGTTTTAACCATAAAAAACATTCCCAGAAATGTTTGTAGTGCCACTTAAAAGAATGTTGGTACCTTACTAGATTCTGAAGCATCCTAATACCATGAAACATTGTTGACCACATTTCTCAGAGTTGCTTAAAAAGTGTATGATGATTCATGGGTACAAGGGGTTTTAGGAATCCTACAGAAATAACAATCAAAACATCCTTCTGGACAGTGCAGCTAGCAAGCAGTGTGATGCAGAGGCCAGATCACAGAATATCTTTAGTATCCCCACTAGTATCCAACCCCTATGAGGACTGCATTCTCTCCTAGATATGACTATTGGAAATATTACCAACTATTGGTAACCACAACTGGCATTTTATTAAAGTCAACCAAACCTCTTTTTTCCTGTCCTGCAATGTTAATTGATAAGTCAGACGGCAAGATTCAAATCCTGACTGTCACTTAGCTAGACTGATTAGCACCTCTGGATTATGGCAATACCTATCTCTAAGGTAGATTAAGTTAAATCATGCATATCTGACACAAAGCATATTATCACCATGTAATTGGGCAATAGAAGATTATGTATTTTCATAAGCCTGTGTGTTATCTTCTATCTGTGGTTTCTTTGGTTTGCCCGTATAAACAATATGAAAAAATAGTTTGAGGCAAAAAGATCATATACAAAGATCAAGCGAAATGGAGTTAGCTTGGGTTTACAAAGATTATGTTAGTTTTATTGGAAAGAGCCAAGGACCCTTCTGCCTGGGTTCAGACCACAGGGCTGGCTCTACTAGCCAAAGAGGAAGAGCATGGAGGACTTCAGGGACCTATTTCAGTCACTGACCCTGAACACTTCCGGTCACTCCTTCAGCAGTTTGTCACCTTCCCTGGGATATTTCTCTCTCACTTTCCCCTTTGCCTCCAGACCCCATGCTCTTCTGAATCCCTTTCGGAGTTAATGTGTCATATCAAATCACCACATGTCAACCTCAGTAAGAATTCAATCAGTTATTTCACCAACTACATGGGCTCATTTGGAAATAATTAAGAGACAATTTGGAAAATGCAATCTCAGAGTGAGACACACAGGCACTTCCCTAGAACCCCAGTCAGCAGCAGCCCCCTATTAAACTTACAGAGGTATTATTACTCTGTTAGAGGCACCTCTTGCTTCACTGTGCATGGTGGGATGGAAAGGATATCAGGAATCGCTTTCTCAGATGAAAGGCTTATTACATCCTACAGTTTGTTGATTCCACAATACATGGGAACTCTCTTGGACTTCATTTGAATAGGGAGCCTGCATCCTAATTTGCATTCATCTGTATCCATCAACACTACACAGAAACAGATTGGGCTAGGAGGCAGGTGGATGGAACCTCGTTCCCAGGATGGAAGATGTGGTAGGAAACAAGGGCTAGAAGACACCATGCTTCTAAGCTTCACTCTTCATCTTCCCTCTCTCTGTAAAGTGACACTAATACACTTTAGAGGAGAGAGCCTGAGTCTTGTATGTCTGTGTCAGCTTTCTGTGGGGACAGCCAGAACATCAGATACTCTTCCTCTTTCACAGCCAAACCTTTTGAAACAGTTGTCTGTTCTTGTCCTAATTTTCTTAAACTTTCTTAATTCACTCACAGTTGATGTTAGGATATAATAAATATTTTGTAAATTATTATAGCTTAAATAACATGAAGTTCTTAGTAATAAAGTCCAGAGACAAGTGATCCTGTACCATGGTAAAGGTAAAGGTAAAGGCCCTCCCGTTGATCGTCGATTTGCTCGAGCGGGCCCAGTAACGTCTCCATTGGAGACTTTGTTGTTACTGTGTCTGGCATATCGAATACTCTCGGTAGCTTGCCAGGCTCTCCTAGAGGGGCGGAGGAATCGAACTCGGGTCGGCCATGTTGGCCGCGTGTAAGGCAAACACCCTACCGCTGTGCTATCGCTCCATGGTAGCTGTACCATGTACCATGGTAGCTATCGCTCCATGGTAGCTGTACCTGTACCATGGTAGCTCTCCCATTATCGTGAACTCAGGTTTTTATCATATTTTTGCCATTCTCAAGATAACAACTTCACCTTGGTGGCCACAGGAAGAAAAAAAAACACAACAGGAAGTGGTCATTTCTCCCTTGAAAGATACTTCTTGGAAGTATTTTCTACATATAGCTTATTGGTGAACTTAGCCCCAGGATCAATCATGACTGCAAAAAAAAGAGGGAAAGTGGTTTTATTCCAAGATACTATATATCCAGCATAAAATTGGAGGGATTACTAATGAAAACAATAGAAAGCATCTATAAGACCAAGTAGAGGTCTCTGGTATACCACAGTCAGGTTTTGAAAATCAGACTGGGAACCAGTTTATAGTCACTACTCAGACAAAATCACCCAGGATTTGAAACATTCACTCCAGAAGCCAGAGCAATAATACAGTGGGTAGGGTATTTGTTTGTATGTGGCAGACCCAGCTTCGATCCCCAGAAACCCCTGAGCCTGCCAGGAGTGATCCCTGAAAACAGTCATGAGTCAGCCTTAAGCACTTTTGGATGTGGCAAAAAAAAAACAAACAAAAAAACCCTCATTAACTCCAACTGAAGAAGCTGGGTTAAATATCCATTTTAAGCTCTAAAACTTTAAGAATGACATCTAAATTTATAAATTTAAATACAACTTAAATTTCTTTGATAATTTTTAAAATATTATAGGCCTGCAATCCCGGGCTCACTACTCCCTGAGTTCTACATCCACACCCTCCAAATATTATCAGAATAATCTTTTAAAGACTAATCTGGTGGGAAGCAAAACAACAAGAAGAATTCAAAGGCCAAAGACAGTAAGTAATGATATATTTATTATATATATGAAGTAATTGACATATAGGTATAAAATTCTGGTTTTAGGGTCACTTCAAAATTACATTAAAATTATATTAGATCTTATCAGATACTTTGATCTGGATAATACAAGTCTGGGGTTCTCAGAAAATGTATTTATCTATAAATTATAGCTAAAATGATCAGGAGAAGGAATGTCCAGGCTTTCTCCTCTGTCATCTCCAGTGTCCCTCCTCAAGAACAGAATTCTGATGTTGAAATAATTAAGTCCTAAAGAACCTTTGACTTATAACTCAGTGTGTGTGGAAGTCTATTCCAACTTCTTGCTATGTTCTATCTCTGAAGTTCTTAAAAGCATCTACAGAAATTACCTAGCCAAACCAGATCCCTTGTCTGAGTTACCTGACAGAGCCACCAATAGTCTCAGAAGTAATTTCAAACAGGATGAGAAATAGACCCTCCAAAATGTTTTTGGGATGAGACTATACTTACGTATATAGCATGTATATGAATACTTTAAAAAAGCATTTTCAGGTTCTGTTCATATCAAACTTTCACATCCTCTCCACTGCTATGTCTTATGGTAGACAAGGCTGTTATTAATAATGAAATAGAATAATAAATACATTATCAAGGATCTATTCTTTTGAAAAGTTTAGGGGCCAAAGAGATGACTCAAAATACTGGAGCACATGATTTAATGCATATGGGAGCCCCAAGTTTGATCATTGACATCAGCATGGTCCTCTGAGCACCACACCAGAAGTAGAGTAGCATGTTTTTTTTGTGGCCACCTCCAAATAATAACAACAACAACAACAAATATATATGTACATATATATATATATAGAAGAGAGAGAGAGAGAGAGAGAGAGAGAGAGAGAGAGAGAGAGAGAGACAGGTGATGGTCTAAGGCTAGGTGTGGGCCACTGATCTACTAATAAACAAGTAAGAATGTGACAAGTGGACCAATTGATACAATAGAGACCCCAAGCAAAATGCTGGAACAGGAAGAGCACAAAATTAGTTAGATCCTCTTTAAATCTAAGGTCTGACTTCTTAAGCAAGGTCTATAAGTCAGATAAATAGCAAAGTGCAATTTTTACATGACCAAAATATCAAAATATCAAATATTCTCTAAAACATAGCACTTCACTAACACAGATGATAAAATATCAAGAAAGTTTAGATTACTTCAAATATGTACTCTTTTCTTCCTTTCTGGAAATAGGCTTTCCACTCATGGTTCCTTATGACAAGAGGCAAAACATGCACAAGAATACACACTAAGTGGCCTATCCCAGACCAAACCAATGATCATGGCCTCTATAATAGTGACATTTTCTGATGTTATAAGAATAATTATTTGCCTCTATTTAAAAAGTTGTATCTAATATTTGTATTGCAGGTACCTATAAAGCACAAAAAAGGAATTGATGATATTTTTTTACCCAACGTAGCAGAAAGTGTTCGACTGTCAGCTTTCCAAATTCAAACAGCTCCATCCAGAGTCCCATTCAGACTTGATTGGTAATCATATATCTCAACTTTTATTTCTACAAACATTTCAATGAATAAAAATATGTTTGGACACCAAAGCCTTTTTAATTTTTATGAGGACTCTATTAGAGTGAACGGACTGAGATGATCACATCTTGAATGCCCCAGATTTGGTCATAGATTTTTTTTCATAGATTTTAAACTAAAGAGTTAATGGGGGTGGCAGAAAGGGGCTTAAGAGAAAGCTTAATGGGTTAAAATGCAGCACTGTAGCACTGTCCTCCGGTTGTTCATTGATTTGCTCTAGCGGGTACCAGTAACATCTCACAAAACAAATTGTGAGACTTGTTACTGTTTTTGGCATATCAAATATCTCATGGGGAGCTTGCCATGCAGGTGAGATACTGTTGGTAGCTTGCTGGGCTCTCCAAGAGGGGAGGAAGAATCGAACCCGGGTGGGCCATGTTGGCCGCATGCAAGGCAAATGCCTTACCCACTGTGCTATCACTCCAGCCCATGGGTTAGAATACATGTGTTATATGCAGGAGACTCAGTTTCAAGCTCTAATGCTGTATAAATCCGCTTCACTTTAAGCTGAAAATAGTCCCTTAGCACCAGCAGGTATGCCCCTACCTGAGGCACTACCATTTAATCTCTGGCATGATATGTCCTACACAGCACTGTTGGGAGGCTCTGGTGGTTCTGACAAAACAAATTAGAAGAGGTCCAGGTATAATCTCTGGTGGATGTGGTCTCCAAATTTAAGTCAATTAAAAATAAAGAGTTGATTTGCAGTCCTACACCCTAGATCAAATGAAAGAAAATAGAAAATCAGTTCACAAGAGTAATGGTATACAGTAAATAACTTCATTTACAAGAGTTTGTACAGAAAATTTAAATTTTGTTTCAGAGTTCGTAAATTTTGTGCATTTTTAAAGATGTTTTAGCTGCTTGTTTGTCTCTTGGAATAGTGACACATAAGATGTAATTTTCTATGCGTTGAAATTGATCTCAGAGGCATATAGTATCAACAATTGTTACTCTACGATGTTCCCTTAAACAAAATTGAATTTGTCTTGAACTTGAATTTAGTCTTGTATAGACTGGCAATAAATCTAAATTCTGCCCAGGTAACATACATTAGTGAAGTAACTGGTAAAAATTGAACCCTGACTTTTAAAAACTATAGCTGGGGATAGAATGAAACTATAGTTTATTAAATAAGTGGTCTATAAAATTTGCACCATTATAAACTAGAGGGTTTTCTTTTTTAATTCCAAACCAGTCCACTCTGAGTAGAGGATGATTATTAGTATGGAATCTAAAATTTTCTTTTGCTTCAGGTCCTAAGTTGCTAGTTATGCTATATTTGAATACATAAGTCTTCTTAATGGTCTTTATTTGGAAATTTCAGTCTAGTCAAGATACCAGCCTCTTGCTAGTTTAAGGGTACGTTGTAGAGCTGAACTTTCAAGTTACTGTGCAAGATTTTTTGTCATGCTGTTATTTGTAATGTTTTGTGAGAATCCTTGGAATTAAAGTTTTGGTTCCAAATTGTTTAACTTGAAACAACAACAACAACAACAACAACAACAACAAAAAAAATAGCCTTTACCTCTAGGCAGCCAGTAGCCACTCAATATGGAATTGAGTAACCAATAAAGTAGGACAGCCAGGAGAAAGTGCAATATAAAGCATTTACTAACAAATGAAAAGCCAGAGTTACAATGCAAATAAACATTAGGTTCAGGGAGATTGTTCAAAAATTGGGCCCATAAGGGCAACTCCACTGCCAAGTATTAGCTCTGGACTACACATTTCCTGAAGACAGCCATGGAAACAGCTGGGGCTCTGAGCACTATGTGGGAGACAAAAAAATAACTAAAACAAAATTCATAGCTCTTGTTTCTGTTTCCATTAAACATTATCCTTTCCTATATTAAGTTCCTGATAGGAAGTTTCTTTCTTTTTCCTATAAACCTCCTCGTTCCAACTCTGAGGGGGAAAATTATCCTTTCTTATAAGTCTATTTTTCTACAAATGTCAAAACTCTCTTCATACATTTGTAAAGTCCAAATTCAAGGAGGGCTTTTGGTTTGTTTCTGTTTAGTTAAGAAAGCTGATCTTGCGTATGAGTACACGAACAGAACAGAACACACCAGAGAAGCAAATGGAACTACATGAAAGTAAGGCAACCTAGCAATTGGAAGAAGGTACTTATTTGCACATTATATATCTGACAGTATCAAAAAGGACTCACACAACTCAAAAACAAAGCAACCTACTCAAAAATAGGAAAAGGAGACCTGAATAGACACTTCTTCAAAGACATACAGATGGTCTCACAGATACATGAAAACATGTCCAACGTCATGTATTAGGGAAATGCAAATATCAAAGCCACGATGAGATTATTATCTCACATTGATGAGAATGACCTCCAGCAAGATCACTGGAAACAATGAATACTGGTGATAGTGTGGGTAAAACCACAGCGGGTAGAGCGTTTGCCTTGCACGCAGCCTACCCGGGTTCGATTCCTCCACTACCTCTTGGAGAGTCCAGCAAGCTACCAAGAGTATCTCGCCCACACGGAAAAGCCTGGCAAGCTACCCGTGATGTATTCAATATGCCAAAAACAGTAACAAATTTCATAATTTGTTGTGAGATGTTACTGGTGCCTGCTCGAGCAAATCGGTGAAAAATGGGAGGACAGTGGTACAGTGCTACAGTGTGGGTAAAAAGAAACTCTGGTATGTTATTTCTAATGTAAACTGGTGTAATATCTGTAGAAAGTGTTATGCAGATCCCTTTGAAAATTTAAATGAAAATACAATGATATTGAATGCCACTTCTAAGCTTGAAAACACTGTCAGATACCTTCACCTTGATCTTCACTGGAGCATTCTTCACAATAGCTAAAGCACTGTATTCTAAATGCCACTGAGAAGGCAATTAGGTAAAGAGCTGTGGCATGTATGTATGTATGCTACTACTCTATAAAAAAAGATGAAACTAGGCTGCAGCAACTGTACAGTGGTTAAGGCACTTCCTTTGCAGGTGGTCGACCTTAATTCTGTCGCTGGAACCCAAAGGTCCTTAGAACTTTACTGTGCTGGGTCCAATTACATAACACAATTGGCTGAGAATCTCTGGGTCCTTGAGTCCTTCTAAGCATTTTTCGGGCCACACCTGGTGGTGCTTAAGGGACCATAGTGGGTGCTGGGGATTGAACTGAGGTCAGTCATGTGCAAGGCAAGCACCTATACCCACTGTACTCTCTCTTGGGCCCTAAGCCCAAGAAAAGAAAATAATTTTCATTTGGGACAAGAGATGATGAATCTTGAGGTGATTTTGAGTAAAATGAGTGAACTAAAACTACTAGATGATTTCACTGATCTATGGAATATAAATGACTAAAGTGAAAAACAAAATACTCCTAAAAATCCAGTTGGTGGTTACCGGCGGGAAGGGGATGCATGGAATAGCAGAGGGCTTTTAGGTGGGATGGTGTTGAAACTTACGCAGTGGTGAATTCTAGACAAAGGTGTTGCCCTGAAACACACCTATATAGAATGGTATCCCCCTAACTCTAGATTGTAATCTAATGTAAACAGATTAAAAGGGGAGAGGCAGAGGAAAGTATGTTTACTGGGCCTTTTTGGATTCTGAAAGCAACTTATAGTTGTGTTCTCTCCCCGCTCCCAGGTATTCTGGGGGCACATTCACAGTGCATAGAAAACCATGTAATGTCAGGAAATGAACCTGGGCCACAAGCATGCAAAGCTTGTACTCCAGTGCATTGAGCTGGAGCTCTCTCCAGACCCTAAATGTGATACTTGAAACTCAATCATCCATTAAGATAACCAGTTCTTTTTAGCTAAAAATCATGTTATTTTGCATTAAAAATTGAAAAATATTGAGACTTGTAGCAATATTAGGCCCATAAAAGATATTGAAAGGTGTTTACTTTCTTACATCTATTCAGGGGAGGGATTTGCAGCCATATGTAGCAGTGCTCCAGAGTCTACTCTTAACTCTGTGCATGAAGAGTTATTCCCAGTGGTACAGTGCTTGGGGAACCATGCAGTGCTGGTGATGATACTAGGGTTGCCTGCATGCAAGACAAGCACTTTAGTTCTGTCTGTGGCCCCTCCTAGGTATTCTTATCAGCATTATTTTTTAATTGAATCACCATGAGATAGAGCATTACAAAATTGTTCATGATTGCATTTCAGTCATACAATGTTCCAACACCCATTCCTCCACCAGTGTAACTTTCCAGCACCAGTATCCCGTTTCCCTCCCACCCCTTCAAGCCACCTTCCACCCCAGCCTGCCTCTACAGCAGGCACCTCTTCTCTTTAGGCATTATGGTTTGTGATACAGATGCTAAAAGGTTATCATATATATCACTTTACCTGCTTTCAACACTCGGTTCTTGCCCAGGGTGATCATTTCCAACTAGTATTGTCATAATGGGTCCACCTCTATCTTAAATACCAGCCATCTCCCACACCATTGACAAACCACTGACCAGCCCTCTTGGCCTGTTTGCCCTGGCCTTGGATGTTAGTTTCATACTGGTATTTTTTTTTTAATCCCATAAATAAATAGTCATCCTTTATCTGTCCCTTTCCTTCTGACTCATTTCACTCTGCACGATACTCTAACAAATCTATCCATTTATAGGCGAATTTCATGGCCTCATTTTTCCTAATATCTGTGTAGATGTACCATAGTTTATTCATGCGTCTGTTCTCAGGTTGTTTCCATATTCTGGTGAATGTGAATAGTGCTACAATGAACATAGAAATGCAGATGGTGCTTTTGCTGTGTGTTTGGACCCCCAGGGTATATTCCCAGAAGTGGTATTGCTGGGTCAAATGGGAGTTCAATTTTTAGTTTTTTGAGGAACATCCATGTTTTCCAAAAAGACTGGACCAGTTGGCATTCCCATCAGCAACGAATGAAGGTCCCTTTCTCCCTGCAACAACAGCACTGCCTGTTCTTGTTTATTTGAATGTGTACTATTAATCTCTGCATCTCATTGTTTTGATTTCCATTCCCCGATGATTAGTGATGTAGAGAATGTTTTCATGTGCATTTTCGTCATTTCACTTTCTTCATTGAGGAAGTTTCTGTTCACTCTTCTCCACCCCCCCCCCCATTTTTTTTGATGGGGTTGGGTATTTTTCTCCTGCAAAGTTCTACCAGTGCCTTGTATATCTTTGATATTAATCCTTGTCAGATGGGTATTGGGTAAACAGTTTTTCCAATTCCACGAATGTCACTATCTTGATCAGTTTCTTTTAAGGTGTTGAAACTTCTTAGTTTAACATAGTCCCATTAGTTAAATTTAAGCATAGTTTAAGCATAGTCCCATTTGCTTCCACTTGCTTGGTCAGCAGTGTTTCATCTTCGAAGACTCCTTCAGCTTCAATATTATGGAGGGTTTTGCCTGTTTTCTTCCATGTATCTTATGGATTGTCTGATTTTGAGGTCTTTAATTCATTTTGATCAGACTTTTGTGCATGGCGTTCGTTAGGTAGAGGTCAGAGATGAAGACCAGTTTTGAGTGGCAGTCTAGGCCAAGATCAGGTTCTGTGAATTCACATTACTGGATAAACTGCAGTAGTGGCAACAATAGCAAAAGTGTCCTGGCATAGTGATATCGGACAATCTATCCAATCAGAAAATCAAAAGACAGATCTTCATAATTTGGAAAAGAAATTCATACTTTTTTTTTAATTAGTGAAACACCATGAGGTACAGCTGTAGACTTACAAGTTTTTGTGCTTGGGTTTCAGTTATACAATGATCAAGTACCCATCCCACCAGTGCCCATTCTCCACCCCCACCAATCCCAGTATCCCTCCCGCACCCCCATACCCCATCCCATCCTGCCTCTGTGGCAAGGCACTCCCTTTTGTTTTGTCTCTCCTTTTGGGTGCTGTGGTTTGCAGAAGAGGCATTGGGTGGCAATCATGTTCGGTCTATAGTCTACTTTCAGCATGCATCTCCCATCCTGGGCGGATCATACCCTTTTCTTAAGATAATTATTCTCCTACATTGTATGACTGAAACCCAATCATAAACAATTTTGTAACTGTGTATCTCACAGTGATTTAATTTTAAAAACTAAGTTTAATTATTCTTCTGTGCTTTGGTAAAGAAACTAATTATAGGTACCTTCATGATTTAGGTGTCATCATTCCTACTGTCATATGTTTGGCTATGTACAGCACAGCAACAACCTTTCATCAATGGAAATGATATGGAATAGTGTTATTTGGCTTGGACAAGTAAAAACTGCTTTTATAATCCTGTGATTTACTGCCTTCCTTGTCCACAACTCATAATCTCTAGGTTGGAGTTTCTAACAATTAGCTAGTCAAGAAAGAAAAACACCAAGCCTCATCTATAGATAGGTCCCATGTCTTGGTTGCACCCAAAAGTGGACAGCTCCAGCACTACACCCCAATTAAAGATGGTCCTGAAGGAAAGTGGTGAGTGAACAGCCTTCCTGTGAAGAGAACTTTAGTACATTTAGCTGTGAAGTGACTGAACTGCGGGATGACCAGAACATAGGTCTATGCCAATTCATTGGCAGATCATACTTCCAGAGGATAGTGCAGAAATCAGAAGAATCAAGACTGAGAAAAGATTAGTTAGCAAGGGGGTTGTGATGGATGTCAGGGAGTGAGCACACACTGACTCCCATGCCATGTCAAAGTCCAACAAAGGGTATTCACCAGAGGAGGTTCTTATTAATAAAAACATGATTAACTGGCAAATGGTTAATCTGAAAAAACTCACACCAATACTAGGCATTGCTCCAGCCGAGTGATGGCACAGCGGTAGGGCGTTTGCCTTGCACGCAGCCAGCCCAGCCAAGCCGGGTTCGATTCCTCCACCCCTCTTGGAGAGTCTGGCAAGCTACCAAGAGTATTCAATATGCCAAACACAATAAAAAGAAGTCTCACAATGGAGACGTTACTGGGCGCGCTCGAGCAAATACTAGGCATCGTAAGGCTCCTACCCATGGGTAAGAGCCATCTGCCCACAGGCAGTCTGGTAGAACCTCTTCTATCACAGAGGGGACAGAATAGACAGACATTCTGGATATGGACTGTCTTCCTATCATTAATGTTTCTGCCACCCCTACCACCAAAATGTGTTTCAGGGATTATATATTTTCTCATTTTGAGATGGAGCTAAAAGTTAAGAGAGATGAAGGCAGGGAATTCCTAAGACAAAGGATCAAAGATTGCAGAGGTAATTCCAGAGATGTGCAGTGATTCAAGAATCCAGCAACACACTGGATAGCACATGCACATTAAATACTGTCCAAGTCTAGGAAATGGTTTAGAGGGAAAAGTAGATGGGAGTCTACACAAGATGAGCGAGCCAGACCAGAAATTCTCATACTCTAGGAGCACTAAGTACTATGAAGAATATCAGTACAGAGATATAATAACTGTAGCACTGTCGTCCCATTGTTCATCTGTTTGCTTGAGCGGACACCAGTTAACGTCTCCATCGTGAGACTTGTTGTTACTGTTTATGGTATATCCAATATGCCATGGGGAGCTTTTGCCAGGCTGTCTTGCAGGCGGGATACTCTTGGTAGCTTGCCAGGCTCTCTGAAAGGGACAAATGAATCAAACCCACGTCAACAGCGTGCAAGGCAAATGCCCTACCTGCTGTGCTACTGCTCCAGTCCTGAAAACACCTAAAAGAAATGCTGTTCTGCTCTCCTAAATCTTATGACATCTGACCTTAGAAACTAGGTCTAAGTATTTGCAAGTAATTAATTATGTCCTAAAATAATTAACCAGCACCCAATAAGCTGAAATTTATAATATCTGGAGCCATAATATAAAGAAAGAAAAAACAAAATGATTCATGAAAAACAAAAAAGTTAACCATCAATAGAAATGAACTCAGATATTATAAAAGTAGTTATTGGTTATTAAAAATTACTCTACTAGATGCAAAAATATTATGTAGATATGAAAGATATAAAATACATACCGAACAATTATAAATAACACACCTGATTAAATAAACCTTAGACCAGATAGAAAATATTGAAATTAAGACAGTAATAATTTGACAAGTAAACATTTTTTTGAAGACTATACTTTCAGGGATCATTTCTATAGCTTGTTACTAAAAAAAATTTTCTGATTGTGTAGAGCACCAGAAACCATGAGGAGCCAGAGAATTCTCTCCTGAGCGTGAGGCCGGTTCTATGTTGCTTTTTCAACTGCCTTTTACTAACCACTGTTCATTCTTTTCTTTCCTTGGGAGAGTGGGAGAGTAGCAGTCTGAGTACTTAAAGGTAAAGTTAAAGGCACTCCCGTTGATCGTCGATTTGCTCGAGCGGGCCCAGTAACGTCTCCATTGGAGACTTTGTTGTTACTGCGTCTGGCATATCGAATACTCTCGGTAGCTTGCCGGGCTCTCCGAGAGGGGCGGCGGAATCGAACTCGGGTCGGCCATGTTGGCCGCTTGTAAGGTGAATTGAAAAGCATATAGAATTGTGGGGTTAACTTCTAGCAGCCTTGGTGTACTAAAGTGTGAAAACAGAAAAAAAAATTGAAATTACTGAAAATCTTTCATATTTGATGAAAACTACAAACCCAAGAATTTAAACAAACCCCCAAAGACATAGCACATCATAATCAAATTGCTACAAACTAGTTCATACACACACAAAAAAAAAAATTTGAAAAAAACAATGGAAAGACAAATTACATACAGGAAGAGGAAAAATGATAAAAACAGATTTTTTTATCAGACACAAGAAAAGCAAATTGACACCATTAAAAATGCAAAACCTCAAAAAATATCCATCTAGTGTAAATTAGTCTAGCCCCTATGGAAAACAGCATGGAGATTTTTCAAAATTTTAAAATAGAACTACCGTATAATTCGTCAATTTCACTCCTAGGTATCCATGCCAAGAACACAAAAACACTTTATATGTAGCCAATCTGGGTTCGATTTCTGGTACTGCATTGGCTGAGTCCACCAGGAAGTGATCCCCAAGTGCAGATCCAAGAGAAAGCCCTGTGCATCACTGAGTATGGCACAAAAACAAAGGAAGATGAACACTTAAGTTCACTATAGTGCCAAGATTTGGGGCTGGCAGGGGTCCCTAGCACACTGGTGGAAATGAGCACTAAGATGATGGGTGTATTATAAGTAACAGTAGCTCAATAAAAATGAGAGGAAAATACAACCTGGCAAACCATTATCTCAATCTGCAAAAATCAAAAAGCTGGTCAATAAATAGCTCAAAAGCACATGCACTGGGGATCCCTGCACTGCTGAGTACCTGGAGCACACCTAGAGTCCGACACTCAGAGTCGTTCCAAAGTACACCAGATGTGTGACCACTGTCCATCCCAATAAACTAACTTCTAAAAAAGTTCACTTTTTGAAGGACATCCTTCAAAAAATAAACGCACATAGATTGGAAGAATTGATCAATCTTACCTGTATCATGGTAGTTATCTACACAATGAAATGTACTGCCAGGAGTGGTACTCCCAAAAACAATGTTTAAAACCTTGAGGCATGGAGAGAGCACAATGCCTAGCAATGTCACTGCCCTGTTCCCCACTCCCCACCTCCCTGCAATACAGGTCCACTTGACAAGCTTCCCAAGCAGCTTTTTAGTAGGCCCTCAACACCACTGGGCATGGCAGTTTTTCAGTTTATATATCAAATTTGACAATGTTTCAGGCTAATCAATATGAAACCAAAGGCTCAGGATTTCTAAGGCAAAAGTAAGCCCACTTTTTCTAGGAATCCTTACTTTTTGTTCCAAACTCTCTAATTTCACAAAATGCAATTTTTTTGTGGATCTAGAAGAAATAGCTTGATGAATTGAGTACGTGTTTAACATTTAAGCAGGGAGGACTGAGTTTGATCCCCACCATCACATGGTCCCAAGTAACACAGGAGCAACCTCCACAAACAGAACCAGGAGCAGCTCCTGAGCACCACCAGGTATGACCCCAAACAAAAACAAAAATAAAAGAAATTGTACACAATGTAGACCAGAAGTAACAGATTCATGTATAAGCATGTGGCTTGGTATGAATTACACCCAGTACTGAAAAGAGGAACCCATATATGTAGTCTACAGACGCAAAAGTTCAGAGGCAAACTTTCAGATATCTAGCAGATGGTATTCTCATAAATTACTTAATAAAGAATCTAAGTAGACTGTTAATTTGTGGAAGATGATGACCTTGCATGGTAATACTCCCAAGACATACCAAGTCCTCTTCCATCATTTCTAAAGTTCTATTTTCATGGTCTCCAAGAGTCAAAATACAACTGAAAACTCATCCCCAAATATATGGAAAAATCCACTAGCATTAAATTTCACAAATCAGAACGCACAAATTTCAGTGAGTAAAAGCAAACATGAATTCAGTAAACATGTAGATTTATTTTAAATCAGTTCGGTACATGATACAGATTGGTTTTGCAGGTTTTAAACGAATCGAAATAGTAAAGTCTAAATTCAGCATGTCTACCTTTGCAACAAATTATCTGTAAGGTAAAGAAATTTGATAGAACTACATTTGCACAAACAAATCAGATGAAAAATCTGAAAAGGTTCCTATATACCTTCTGGATTTAAAAAACCCAAAAATTATTAATGGCTCAAGATACTATATTGTCAAAGAAGGGAGGGGAAAGGCAATGAGTTCTGTTTTAAGAGCTCTCCTGTAGACCAGCAAAATTTACTTTGTATTCTGATTGTTAAGAGCTGTATTCAAATTTACAGAAGACAAGAGACTACTTCAGCTTACAAAAAGTGCTGTATGTGTTGACATTACTTGTGGCAAGATATTCACATCCAAGCAAACTAACAATTATGCCAGTGTAGCTAATTCTGCCACTTTGGGAAAATTTTTAATTTTTTGTATCTTCAAATAAATTTCCAATCATATAGCACACACTAAAAAACTAACAGTCACAGCACCAAATACATTTTTTTGGTGAGGTACCGAAAATATTACTAATGAGAACACAAAATGTGAGGTAAACCTACCCTTCCCCCAAAACCTTTGAAGCCAAAGTTCTAAACAATTAAGGCACTTGAAAACATTAGGTGTATGTACAAATGTGCAAGTAAAACTTTAGCTGTACCAGCAAGTAACAAAAAAAAATTTTTTTCATTTTGAGAACCTTTAAAACAATGACCTAAATGAATTTCGGTTTATGAAATGGACCAAAGCAAACACTAATTCCCTAATATAAAAACATGAAAACCAAGTGCTACATTTGACCATGACAGGCTAAAGAAATTAAACAAAAATTCTTTCATGGTCTAGAAAAGCAAATGAGCATTTTAAACTAATTTAAGCCTCTGAACTAATAATCAAAAATGTCAAAAGGCAGGGGAAAGTATCCCTCTAAAACCCAAAAACCTAGTATTTCACAAATAAACTAAGTAAAAGTATGCATGCTTATTTATATGATGGAAATGGGGGGGGGGGGATAACAGTAAATGAGAAAGAAAAGAAAAAGCACAATCTATTCATTCAAGGCAATCATCATTAAAAATATCATATTCTGGTCAACTGAAAATCCTCAAGATTTTCTAAAATCACACGTGTTATCTGCTGCCTCCAATTGTTTAATGATTGTCTTGAGTGTCTAGAAACCTTACTTCCTTCTAACCTCACAAAAGAACTTTTCAAAGAAGTTTGGTAAAATCCCTTTTTTAATATTGTCAAGGTACAGTATTGTCAAGCACAAAAGAAAATATAATTAAATCACTTTTTATCTATATATATATTTAACAGCCATAAGAAAATATTGGGAGGCTCAGTATAGAAAGGCTTTCAGTTTTGTATAACATCTAGTTTAAGTTCCTCAAGTTTGATATTAGGTAATTTTCAATTAAGTAGTAACAGTATGATATCTAAAAGCAGCTCTTCAACTGCTCATAAACTACAATTACATTTTCAATCCTGACCCTCCTTAAGGTGAAATAACAAATCTCAAACATTTTAAGTTACAGTCTACCTTTCAGTCTGTCTTTTAAGGCACGGTTCTTTATTTTCAATGTTATAAGGTGCTTTACAAGTATGAACAAATAACCTGTTAAACTTCTATGTATCCTTCCATTCACTTTTTTTAAACCTGGAATGCAATTCCCTGTATGTCATCTTATTTCTAGTGTAGAAAAAAATGTTACCAAGCACAAAATTTTAGTTTAAGGATACAGTTTATGGTAAGGACACTAAATTTGTAAGTGTATTCTATTTTAAAAATAATAACCCAAATCTACCTGACTGATGCTCATTTGGCACATTCTCAATTCTGGTCACTGAACTACAGCCTGAGTTAGGATGAAAATAATGCAGCTTGCAGGCTTATTAAATTGACTAAATATAAATTGCCAAGAGAGTCATGACATCTGATATCACTTATAGAAAGTTACATTTGGCATGTCAAGAAAAGAACACAATCCCACAGCAGCAGCCATTTTTTAAAAAAAGAAGACAGCCACAAGGATTCATGCAGAATATCTTAATTATTCTTGTTGAGAAAGATGATTTAAATGTTTTTTCTTCAAGGATGATGCTCCAAATATCCTCTACATATCTTTTGGAAATTTAAAGATCCTGGAATAGCGTCTTCCTTGTGGGACACATCAGGAAAGAGAGTATTTTGGTTTCAGTGAATTACACCCCAGTCCTTGTTAATTTAATCGATCTGTTTACAGAGTGTGGTAATTTCGTTCTTTAGATTTGCAAAATTTATAGAGAAAGAAAATTACAGCTTGTAGACCCAATACAAGGACAATTCCTCCAATGAAACTGGCTGCATCAAAGGTAGACTTCCGGACAGGTTGAGAAGTTGGAGCTAGAGTAGTATTAGTTGTACCTGTAAATAAAATAAAAATATTTTTAAAAAATGCTTTATCTACAATCAAAAATTCAAGGTACCCCTATAAGACTTTTTTACCACGTGTTAAATTCTATATAAGTATTTTGGTTGAATCATTATCTTTATAGGTTAAACTTACCCATAATTGGGGGCTATACCAAACAACCTCATTCTTCACTCTGAGTACTATTTAGTCATTAATGCTGCTATATAACTAAAATACAAAAATGAGGCCCGTGGAGATAATGTAGGATTAAGGTATTTGATCCTCAGCACCACATATGGTCCTGAGTCGTCCTGCTGGGAGTGACCTCTAAGCTGAGAGCTTTGCTAGTTGTAGCCTGAAAACCCAACCCACCAGCCAAAAGACAGAAAAATGTTCTCCTGTTACATATAAATATGACCTAGGAACATATCAAACATTTAGTTAATTTGTTCATATTCTGTACTTTTAATGATCCAAATAAATAATAACTTCTGAAAAAAATCTTGCAAATTTTAGTATTATTTAAGGCAAGAAAAAAATTTATCCTTAAAATTTCAAGTTATAAGTATCCCTATTCTTTTGTTGTTATTGAAGATCCTGGGGGACCGGTCCACACATGAAGGAGCCTAAAGTTGGTCATGTAGTGCCAGAGTTGAAACTAGGGCTTCACACATACAAAACACGTGGTTCTATCACTTGAACCAAAGCCTCAACCCATTAAATAAATAATCTTAAATACCTGTAATTTATATTTTCAACAAGCAAAGATCTTGTCAGAATATTTTGAGTCTTACTTTCAAAATTTACTTTCTGAGAAAGTATTACCCAAAAATATTAGGAGGGAAAAAAATTATTTTGCAGGGGTAGGGGGCACTTTACAATGCTCAAGGCTTTACTCCTGGCTCTGCACTCAAGAATCACTCCTAATCAGTTAATCCTAGTGGGTCTCAAGAGGTCATATGGGGTGCCAGGGATCAAACCCAGGTCAACCATGTGCAAAGTCATCGCCCTACCCACTGTATCATCTCTGAGCACTCCGCCAACAATTCATGTGAAGTAATGTCTATTTTAACAAAAATCTATTTCATGTTTACCACAAATCTTGCTTTTTCTCAAATTATCAAATAAACACTAGTTCTGGTAGCAGTTTAATAAATTAGTCAGCTTTAAAATTAAATGTATTAAGAAATTAAAATTCAATGTATTTTGTGATTCTTGTGAACATATACAGGGAATGGTTCCAATGAATTTAAGAGAAAGACAACAAAGAAGGAAAAAAAATGAAATGTAGGCTGGGAAAGTGAAGTGGCTTAGTGAAAAAGTACATGCTTTGCATGTTTGAGACCAGGGTTAGAGCACTTAAAAAGTTGAGATTTATGAGAATAAAAAAAAAATCACTTTATTATTAGCATTTTAATAGTGCTATGGTAAGCATAGGATCTATCAAGTATCATACCCAGCCATGCTCAGCCCTGTAGTATTACAGTCTGTTCTACAATGTATCTTTGAATCAGCTTCTCATCATAACCCACAAGATCTATGGAGTACTGTGGCATAAGTAAAATACTGACTTAGTTTATATCAAATAATCATTTCAAACATATTTTCCAAGAGTTATGAATATAACTTACACTTCTTCCAACAGTATATAAAAGTTCCCTTTTACAAGGGAATGTATAAGTGGTGCAACTCTTTTAAAAAACAAGTTTCCTCAAAAAACCAATCATATGATTCAACAATTCTACTTCTGGGTATCTGAACAATATGAAATCATTAACTCAAAAGCTGTATCTACTCTGTTTACTAAAACATTATGTAGAGTTTTCAAGATACAGACATCCAAAATGACACTGACAAATATTAAGATGCATACACACACAATAAAATAGTATTCAATTGTAAATGGAAAATACTCAAGGAAACAATGTGAACCACATTAAGGAGAATAACAAATACAGCTTGATTTTACATATGTGTGCAATATAAATAAGACAATGAGAGAATAAAACAAAAATAAACCAGTGTATGTCTAGAGAAATACCAGAGATTAAGGTCCTTGCCCTGAGCACTGCCAGGAGGAATACCTGAGCACGCTGTTAGGAATAGTCTTTGAGCAGTTAGGTATAACCCAAAAACCAAAAGTAATGGATATTGAAGAGAAAACAGATTACCAGAGAAAAGAAAGGGTGAAAGAGATTTAAAGAGGAGAAAGGAGAAAAAGGGGTGGTGGTTTTGTTTTAAAATTAAAAAAAATAAAAGGTAATAAAAATACCATTACGATTGAGAACAGCAAAATAGGCTGCCGTGTTTTACATGCAAAAAAAAAAAGGACCAGGTTTTATGCTCCTGGCTCTACACTCAGGAATCCCGGTAGTGCCATAGGGTGTCCCATAATCACACGGAGTAACATCCCCTTCCCCGCACAAGGAATGCCCTGAGCTGAGCCATGTTGGTTGTGAACTCCCAACTCCACCCCACCCTCCAAAAGCAAGAAATCTAATTAAGGTGCACACTCAGATCAAATCACAATGCTCAAAAATACAAATCCTGGCGTTTGCCTTGCACTCAGCCAACTGGGACGACCCAAGTTCGATTCCTCTGTCTTCGATTCCTCAACCCCTCTCAGAGAGCCCAGCAAGCTACTGAGAGCATCTCGCCCGCACGGCAGAGCCTGGCAAGCTACCTCTGACATAGTCGATAGGCCAAACACAGTAACAACTATCACTGTCCTCCCATTGTTCATCGATTTGCTTGAGTGGGCCCAGTAATGTCTCCATTGTGACAACTGTTACTGTGTTTGACCTATCGAATACGTCATGGGTAGCCTGCCAGGCCTTGCCGTGTGGGTGAGATACTCTTGGTAGCTTGCCGGGCTCTCTGGGAGGGGCGGAGGAATCGAACTCGGGTTGGTCGTGTTGGCCCCTTGCAAGGCAAACTCCCTACCTGCTGTGCTATCGCTCCAACCCAAGTCTCACAATGTTACTGGGCCCGCTCGAGCAAATCAATGAACAACAGGAGAACAGTGACAGTGACAGTACTATCTCTCAGGCCCCTGATTTCTGTATTTTTGAGCCTTGTGATTTGATCTGAGCCTTGTGTTCTTCCAACTCCATTTCAATAGGAACATACATTTCCCTGAGCACAGGGCCAAGAGTGATTCCTGAGCAGAGCCAGGACTCAGCCCTGAGCACCACTGGGTGTGGCTCCAATAAAAATAAAAACAGCAATCAATCCCTATAATTTATAATCAGTATTATTTTTAAAGTCACAAACAATTTAATTTTTCCTGTAAGTTGTACCTGAAGGGTTTTAAAAAATTACTTAATTCTAAAATTCTACTTAATTTTAGAATATTAACAACTACTTAATTCTAAAAGAATCAATCTAAATTAATTTTATTAAGCAATTAAAATTACTTAATTCTAAAATTCATGTCAAATGTGATTTCTCATTAAAAACACTGAGGATTCTTGGCAAACCTATCATATTACTGATTTAACAATTGTGGCACTGTAGCGCTGTCCTCCCGTTTTTCATCGATTTGCTCGAGCGGGCCCAGTAATGTCTCCATTGTGAGACTTATTACCGTGTTTGGCATATCGAATATGTCACGGGGAGCTTGCCAAGCTTTGCCGTGTGGGCAAGATACTCTCGGTAGCTTGCTGGGCTCTCGGAGAGGGGCAGAGGAATCAAACCCAAGCTGGTTCCATGCAAGGCAAATGACCTACTGCTGTGCTATCGCTCCAGCCCCGATTTAACAATTAAGTCCCTTAAACATTTTTAGTGTGTAACTATTCATAACTGGATAGGGCTGGAGTGATAGCACAGCAGTAGGGCGTTTGCCTTGCACACAGCCACCCCGGCCGACCAGTGTTCGATTCCTCCACCCCTCCTGGAGAGCCTGGCAAGCTAATGAGAGTATTCAATATGCCAAACACAGTAACAAGAAATCTCACAATGGAGACGTTATTGGGCCCGCTCGAGCAAATCGATGAACTATTCATAACAAAAAAATGGAATACACTAAAAAAAAAAATCTGGAGTATAGTACACTGGTTAGGGTGTTTGCCTTGCACACATCTGACCTGGGTTTGGTCCCACATCAGGAATGATTCCTCACCTCAGAGCCTGGAATAACCCATAAGCACTGCCTGGTGTGGCTCCAAAACCAAAACAACAAAAACACTTAAATGGAGTATGATAATCACAGTGAAAGTTAATGATAGAAACACACAGTACTTTAATAAAAAAAAAACCAATCATTACCTGATGTAGTAGCTGTGATAGAAGTTGAAGCAGAAGACTGAGTTGTAGGTTTAGCTACAAAATAAAATGTATTTGAAATTTAAATTTCTAAATTTTCCAGGTATCTAGCATCTACCTTCTAATCATGCATTCAGTATCTTAGGGAATCAATCACTAACACATCTATACATCCAAAAACTACTTTCGAAAAATATTTAAAACCAGTAAACAATAATAAAATCGTATCTACAATAAAATCGTATCTATGCTGAAGTCTATGTATATCTAGATGTATAACATTTATGTATATACCTTGATGAAGCCAGTAAAAAGACAAAGAAGGGTAAGACAGTTTTTAGATGAGGGAACTATAAAATGTTCTTTAATCTTCAAACATTAAACCCACTAACTTTAAAAGCTACAATTTTATGTACATATCAGATTTTTAAAATAAGATTTCCTTTTCTCTTTCACTGCTGAAATTGAACTTTTCTTAAAGGGGAAGGAAAGTATTTTAGCTCTCTGCACTGCGCAGAGCAAAGACTGTTGAAAACTTGGGGCTGGAATGATAGCACAGAAGGTAGTGTGTTTGAGTTCATGGTTTTGGAATTTATAGCAACTAAATCACATATTGCATCACACTCTTTACAAATGAATGGATCTAATACTCATCAAATAAAAATTAAAACGAAGGCTGGGAGCCAGAGGAGAGAGAAAGAGGGAGAGAGAGAATACAGGAGTTAAGGCCTTGCACACAGTCAACCCTAGTTCAATCCTCAGCCACCACAAATAATTCCTAGAGCACCACCAGAAGTGATTCCTGAGCACAGAGACAGGAGGAAGCCCAAAGCACTTCCAAGTGTGATCCAAAAATTAAAATATAAAACTAAAACAGAAGACCCAAAGGCTAAAATGTACCCAGGAGTAATTCCTGAACATAGAACTTGGAGTAAGCCTTAAGCACCACCAGGTGTGGCTCAAAAATAAACCCAAAAATGTTTGTCATTCAGAATTTCATATGTATGGACTGTTGAAAACTTGGGGCTGGAATGATAGCACAGAGGGAAGGGTGTTTGCCTTGCACACAACCGACCCAGGTTTGATTTCTAGCATCCCATATGGTCCCCTGAACACCACCAGGAGTAGTTCCTGAGTGCATGAGCCAGGAGTAATCCCTGTGCATCACTGGGTGTGACCCCCCCCCCCAAATAAAAAGACTGTCGAAAACAAATGAATAGGTATGGATATGTTCTAACGAAATTTTATTTCTGAGAGCAGACCCTAGGACCACAGTTCCTCCAACTAGATTATAATACTACAAGGATTAAGTTTTAGCCTACCATACATAAATATAAATAATTATCTAATGTGATACCTCTAAAATTCAAACTTATAGGAAGAACTAATGTGAATATAAAAGCATTTTATGAACTAAGGCCTGTAAGTAACGTTTGTTTGTTGTTAGTACTGATATTAGTATCCTATGGTTAAGTTCAGAACCATCTACAGCCTTATGGTTCCCTGGAGCAACACCAGGAGTAATATGGTTCCCTGGAGCACCACCAGGAGTAATTCCAGGAGTAACCGCTATGCACCATCGGATGTAACCCAAAAAGAGAAAACAAAACAAACCGAAACCTTGGGCCCAGGAGCATTGTCAGGGAAAACCAAATGCTCGGCCATAGTGTCCCTTAACTTCTCACTTCCTCTCTTGAACAGCAGCCATAGAAAATAAAGGTCATAAAAAGGTTTTTTAATCATTAATTGTCCTTAACCAGTGTGTTTTTCTGAAATCTCTCCATTTAACTAAAGAGAGAAAATAAGAGACTAAAAGCAGGAGAGAAGTACATCATGAGCAGACTCATTGGTGGGGTGAAAAGATAGCACCGTGTAGGTAAGGCGGTTGCTTTGTACATGGCTGACCCAAGTTCAATCTCTGGCATCCCGTATGGCCTCCTGAGCCCTGTCAAGAAAAAGTCCCAAAGAAGCTTGCCACAGTGGTACGGGAGGGTGGGTAGGACAGAGAAGGAACGACTATGACAATGGTAAGTGGAAATGATTCCCTGACAATATCACTGACAAGAACAGGTGGCTCAAAGTATATTTTGTTAACTTTCAGTACCTGTGTTCCAAGGCACAATGTGGAAAAGGGGGAAGGGGGGGGGGAACGAGAGGGGGGGGCAAGAAAGAGAGAAAAGTGTCTGCCATAGAAGCAAGCTGGTGGGAGAGAAGCTGGGTACATTGATGGATGGTTAGCTGTACATTGGTGATGGATTAGGTGTTGAACATTTTATGGCTGAAAAACAACCATAAACAACTTTATAATTGTTTATCTCAGTGATTTTGTCCTGAGTGCAGCCTGGTGTGACCCAAAAAACAAGGGAAAGGGAAAAAAAAATAATAGACTTTCGGGGGAGAAATTAAACATATACCCACTGTTTCATGAACTCTTTTCTGTCTCATACTTCCCTTCCTAAGAATCAGTTTTCTCTCATCATTTGTTTTTCACCAACTTTTAACATCCTCTTAGTAGGCAAGAAAAGTTTAGGAGCACACCTGTATACTAAGATTCGTAGAAATTTCAGATAATTTCTATGGCATAAATAGTTGCACTATACTCCAAGTTCAAACTGCCAATATGGTTATAACATGCTATCTGAAAGAGCTGTGCACAATACTGGCTATAGTAAAAAGCTAGCTCACTGCTGCCTAAGCCTTCCAAAATGACTTCTGGTCTTTGTTACAGCACTTGACCACTTTTTCCTCTGAAAAACTACACCCACACAGTTTCTTGGACACCTTTTTCTGGGCCTTCTCCTGCCAATCCCTACTCATTTCTCCCAAGTTCCCTTTAAGCCTCAAGACAGTAATATTTTCAAGAAATCTGATTAGCAAATCCTATTACTCGCCTATGTTCTTTAATAGTGCCTATCCAAACTATATGGAGCCTGTGGGCTCTCAGAATAATCCAAGGGGTCTGCAGATGGAAATCACTTAATGGGGAACCAATGACACAGACTAGGGGCCAATAAGTGAAAAAGAAAGGCAAAGGAAAACAATATCAGAAGTTGAAAAAAGGTTGAGAAACACTGCCTTAGAACCCTCTATTAGTATCTGCGCCATGTTGCTGTATTTTTAGCCAAGAGTTTCCTCTCATCACTGGTCCTCAAGTCTCTGTCAATCTACTTCTATGTCTACATCCTACTGCAGCAATTTACATATTCCTACTCTAGAATTACAACAAGGTATTTTCCCAGTGTCTACTCTTTTTGGAGTTGGAGGGCTCCTGAGGTGATACTCAAGCTGATAGGTTCAGTGGTCCCATGATGCTGAGGTCCACAGTGCAACACCAAGTGATACTGGTCTTCAAGGATCCAACCTGTGGCCCTTGAGCTGCTCTCTTCAGTTCGGTGTTCACTTTCCAAACCCCTCTCCTCATTGAAGTCCTTTTATTAAATTTCAAGTCTCATCATATGACCCAGATGCTTCAAATCTACCAGCAAGTTTTACAAAGAGGCAATTCAATTCCCAATGTTATTATGACCAATACAGTCTACCTAAACTCTTGATCACTATGCACTGTACATTCCAAAGACAATCCTAACATCAATGCACTTTCATATTTCCTTCGCACATACTGACAACCCTGCTCTGCCTGGGAAGCTCTCATATATTATTTGTAGACCAAACACCTCCAGCTGTTACCACATTAAGTCAAGCGACTCAGTAACACACACACACACACACACACACACACACACACACACACACACACACCCCTTAAGTCCCAATTCCCAGAGCACATTTGAGTTCCTAAAATAGACAAAACGTCTATTTCTGATCTCTTTCCCTATCAACTAGTCTAGTGTTTGTCCTGGGTGTTTTAAAACAATTTACTTTTTCTATCTATAGGGAAGATTTTAAAAGGACTATTAGCTAAAGCTGTTGAAGGTATGGTGAAAAATTCCCATGGTTGATAGTAATGAAAAGCACATTTATCTGGAAAGATGTTAGTATTGAGTCTTAAAAGTCACTACAACCTCGAACCTAGAAATTTTGTTTGAATCAATCCTGTCAGAGACAACAACAAGTATTTCTCTAGAAAATGTTCACTGCCTGGAGTACTATTCAACCAAAAACAGAATAGGTAAAGTGCATTCAACAATGTTTTCAGAAAGAGGAAAAACAAAAAATATGGACTATATAACAACATATTTAGATTATTAAGCACTAGAAAAGACAAGAAATTAAGCACTGAAAACATTTTAGTACACTTCTGAAGAGGAATTACATAGTTTTTTTATGTTTCCGAGATTTCAACAAATTTGTGAAACTCCACTGCAGACTCAATGTACAATCCTATGGCAAATCTGTTTTGATTCAATTAAAAAAATGAAAAAAAGAAAAAAACACCTAAGTTATGTGGTCACTGTCAGAAACCAATGTATATGTTATGTCCCAAAACTAAGTCAACTTGCTTATGATTTTTAAGATTACACTAACAATCTCTAGGATTACATTACTGAAAGTTTATCAAGAAAGCTGAAAAGTTCTGAGCAGGAAAAACATTTCATTACCTGTAGAATTGGTTGTTGGCAATGGAGGGGAAGTGGTAGGTGGTGCTATTTGAAAAAAAGAGAAACACAAAAACAGTATTATCTTACGTCAAACACCATTTCCCAATTTACAGTCATTTAATGTGCCCATTTTTCAATTTTATGTTTCAGTATTACCAGCATAAGAGATTTGACAGTTGTTCTCATGTGGTTTGTTAGTCTTCCTTTACTTAGAAATTAAGTCGCCATAAGGACCTTCAAGCCCATCAGGAGTGACTCCCTGAATTAGAATCAGGAGTAAATACTGAGCACTGCCAGATGTGACCCCAAATCTGAGGAGAGGGCAGGGAATCAAAGCACCAATTTTTAGTGATTCATCCCTCACCAAAAGACACTTCTAGTTAGGTAGTCAAGGTAAAAAATATAGGCCACTCACTTTCCACTCCTTCCTCCTACTGGCAGAAAAAATAATGATGGCTACAGTATGAGCATATATGAGATAAGCTTAAGCTCAAAGTCATTTAAGGATGACTATAAGGGTCAGAGAAATAATATGGTGATCACCTTGCACGGAGCAATGGCCCACCCTGGTTCAATTTATCCAGCACTGTATATGGTCTTCTAAATATTGCCAGGGGTGTTACCCCCCCTAGCAGAGTTAGGAATAGCCCAGCCCACGAGCACCATCAAGCGTGGTGCCAAAACAAACCAACCAAAAATAAGTATAAAAATCTAGAAGAAGTTTGGGTTTCCAATGGTTCTTTGTCCTTTAACACCAGTACGTGGAACCTGTACTTCCTTTATCAGAGAGCAAAACAAATTTGCCCATTGCTTCAGTCACTGTAATTTGAGGTCTTATGGCCTTCTTTACCCAAATAAAGAAGCCAGGTATATAGTTCAGCAATTGAGCACATTTGCCTTGCTTATGTGAGGCCTTGGGTCTATTCCCAGGCACTATTAAAAAATGATAAACCATTTGTACTTTATCCAGGGAGACAGCTCAGAGTGTATACCTGGCATGCACTAAGTCTACCTGAGGAGACCATATATATATATACACACACACATATATATATATATCTTCTATCTTATTTTTTTTGTAATACAGCATTCTTCCCTAATTGCCAGCACCATAAGGCATTGCCCTAAGTGCCCTTTAGTACTGCTGGAGTGACTCCCAGCCCCCATGAGTATGTTAGGGAGGCAATGCTACCACCCACCACACACATGAAAAGCACCTTACTTATATATACTACTCCACAGTATAAATAGATCAATAAATAAAATTTAATTTTGTTTGAATATGTTAATTACACCTTTTTTTCTAACAAGAGTAAAAGTTTAGTAATGATTCAAACCAAATAATGAAATGAAGCTTCCCGAGGCAAACCTAACCTTTGTGGCAAACTCACCTGAACAGGACTTCGTCTCATTGATTAAATGGCACCCACCAGCTGATGAATTTTGTGAACAGTAGCTACTATTATCTGCTACGAAGAAAAGAAAATAATACCGTCACTCATCTCTACTATCTTTAACCTTATTGGTGAAATATAATACTCAGGTAATCTTAAAAGTCCAGACCAACAAAATACTGTTTTCTCCACCAATTTGGAATCACACAGGATCTCTTAAAATACGATTTAAAAATTTCTATGAGCATAACTGAACAGCTTTGAAACACAAAAATCTAAGAATTACAGGTAAGACAACTGCAATCAAAGAAAAGTTAGATACAAAGTACAAGCACTGGTGCATATGTTGTCTGAGCACATGTGTCAGCTGTATCTATGTACTTTCTATGCTGGTATTGGACTGGGGCTCTCTCTGCACTCTAGAAAATTCCACTTTCTCTCGAGCATATTATGCTCTCTCTCCCTTTCTCCCTTTCTCCCTCCCTCCTCTCACTTCCTCAAAATTCCCCAAAAAGAGGGAGAAGTGTTCAGGTGTTTAGAGAGCAGTCCCAATTGCAATGGTGGGACTTCTGTTCCAAATCTTTTCTTAGTTAAACCAATGTTTTCCACAGTGGGTGAAAATACCCCCAAGGAGTGCTGGAAACACCAAGTATGGGCAGTAGTAGTCTCAAGTGCAAACGGGAGGTACCTTGTTCTCTTAAGGTAGAGTTTGAGGGGAGCACTGATTCCCCTCCACCCCCCTGGAAAGAGTATTCAGTCCAAAACCTTTGGGAACCTCTGTTCTAAACCCTTCTGAATTAGTTTTCCTGGGTGTGCAGACTTGTCGTAAAAGGTTGAACTTTCCCCAAAATACGAGAGAGAAATTTAATCTCCAAAACTTGCCCTTACATAACACTACAGAACACACAACATGCACTTTGACTTTCCAGGGTTGATGTGGAACCTGGTCTTCTACCACTGAGTTACACCCACAGCCCTAGAGGTACAATCTTAAATTCCATTTTATTGGATGAAAAAAAGAGAGAGATCATGCAACAATAGAAAAACACTAATTTATGACCACAGAAAGTTTATACTATATTTTATCTATTATTTATTTTAGTACATCCAGCATGGGCTGGAGCGACAGCACAGTGGTAGGGTGTTTGCTTTGCACGCAGCCAACATGACCAACCCAAGTTCAATTCCTCCGCCCCTCTTGGAGAGCTAGGCAAGCTACCGAGAGTATCTCGCCCGCACGGCAAAGCCTGCCAAGCTCCCCGTGGCGTATTCGATATGCCAAACACAGTAACAACAAGTCTCAAGATGGAGACATTACTGGGCCCGGTCAAGCAAACTGATGAACAACGGGAGGTCTGTGACCGTGACATCCAGCATTGCTGGGGCCCTAACTCAGAGCTTCCATATGCCAAGTAGCCCAGCCACTAAACTTACATACAGATGCAACTTCCAAAATTCTTGAATTTGTCACTGAAAAAGTTTGATAGGTTAGACTTTTTCTTCATGCAGGGTAGAGTGGACCTGACAACATGTATGATGAGGCCCTGTGTTTTAACACTGATATAAAAAACTAAACATGTGTTAGTTCCTGGAGAGACAGTTCAGAGGTTAATGCACTTGCCTTGCATGAGGCTGACCCCAGTTCAATCCCAGGAACCAAATATGGTCCCTGAGTCCTGCCAAGAATGATCCCACAGCAGAGCCAGGAGTCAGCCCTGAGTACAGTAGCTGTCGCACCAAACAAACCAAAAAGCCTAAAGAGCTTAAAAAGAAACTGTCAGGGGGTGGAGCAATAGCACAGCGGGGAGGGCATTTGCCTTGCACGCAGTTGACCCAGGTTCGATTCCCTGCATCCCATATGGTCCCCTGAGCACCGCCAGGAGTGATTCCTGAGTGCAGAGCCAGGAATAACCCCTGAGCACCACCAGGTGTGACCCAAAAAGCAATAAATAAATAAATAGCTGTTAGATCATTTTGCTAGCAAAAAAAAAAACATGTAGGCATCTTCATTAATAAACATGATAGAGAGGACTGAAGATTTAGGTCAATGAATAAGCTGACAGCATGCTTGAAATGTAGAAAATCTGGGTTCGATCCCCAGCAGCTAGTCCCCTGGGCACAGCTGGCTAGAAGTGACAACTCCACCTGTAGCAGAGCTGGGAGCAGCCTCCAAGTACTGCAAGTATGGTTCCATAACAGAACAAGTTATTATGAAGCCGAGAACAGGGGCCAGAGGAATAGTGCAGTGGATAGGGCATTTGTCTGGCACGCAGTCGACGCAGGTTTGATACCCAGCATCCCATATGGTTCCCCAAGCACTGCCAGGATTAATTACTACGTATAGTGCCAGGAATAATCTCTGAGCATCGCCAAGTGTGACCCAAAAAAAAGAAAAAAAGGGGGCAAAAAAACCCAGGGGGAAAAAAAAAAACCCTGAAAACTAACCCAATTAATGGAGGACAAGTCTAGAGATGAGGGAACCTGAGTTCAATTCCATCCACGGCATGCCTCCAAGCACTGCCAGGAACAGTCCAAGTAGTCCAAGCAATGCTGGTGTGACCTCCCTGTAAATTAAGCTATAGTCTTATTTATCAAGTCTAAAGAATTAAAGGGGATAGAGGTAAAAAACAGTTACTATAAAATAATTTGATATGCAAAATTAAGTGTCCTCTTATCCTAAATGCCCAACGTAATTTCAAAGTATTCAATAACATCCTAGAACATATTTTAAAGCTATGATACCCAACAATTCTAGTCTCAAAGCAATCCCAAAGTTTCTTACCATCACACTGTATCCAAAAGCAGGTAACATTTTGTTGGTTAGGAGAAACACAGGAAACACAGCTGTTGTGATTTCCACAGGTATCTGTGGGGATTAAAATGTATAAAATCAATTAATTGGTAACTCAGTTTGTACTACCTTTCTTTTTAAAACAGTAAACATACAAAATAGTCTTTCAACCTTTTTATCTTCAGACCAGCACTTGTCCAAAAAACCTAACAAACTATCAGAATCAAAAATTCTCAGGTAAGACTTTATACTAAGTTTTTAATCAAGGTTCAATGACAATAAAATATTATGCACATACAATGAGTACTCAGCCATAAAAAAGGGAAATCTAATCCAAAAAGATCAGAAATATGATTCAATGATAGAGCACATTTTTCACATGTGAAGTTCAATCTCTGGCATTGCAAAAATATTAAAAAATAGAATTTACTGCTCTACATCATTAATCATCAGGGAGATGCAGATCAAAACCACAATGAGATACCATCTCACACCTCAGAGACTGGCCCACATTCAAAAGAACAAAAGCAACCGATGCTGGCGTGGATGTGGCGAGAAAGGGACACTCCTTCACTGTTGGTGGGAATGTCGACTAGTTCAGCCCTTCTGGAAAACAGTATGGACGTTTCTCAAAAAATTAGAAATTGAGCTCCCATTTGACCCAGTGATACCACTCCTGGGAATATATCCCAGGGAGGCAAAAATGTGTAGTCGAAGTGACATCTGCACTTGTTTGTTCATTGCAGCATTCTTTACAATAGCCAGAAACTAGAAGAAACCTGAGTGCCCAAGAACAGATGACTGGTTAAAGAAACTTTGGTACATCTACACAATGGAGTACTATGTAGCCCTTAGAAAAGATGAAGTCATGAAATTTACATACAAGTGGTACAATATGGAAAGTATCATGCTAAGCGAAATGAGTCAGAGAGGGATAGACATAGAAAGATTGCATTCATCTGGGGGATATAAAGCAACAAAATATGAGATTAGTACCCAAGAATAGCTGAGATCAACACCAGGAGGATTACTCCATAGCTTAGAGGCCAGCCGGGTATTCTAGGGGAAAGGGCAGTTCAGATAGAGAAGGGAGCACCAAATAAAGGGTGTTTGGAGGATCCTCCCAGGAGGGGAAATGCATGTTGAAAGTAGACTATGGACTGAACATGTTTGCCACTCAATGCCTCTTTGCAGACCACAACACCCAAAAGGAGAGAGAGAACAAAGGGGAATGCCCTGCCACAGAGGCAGGGTGGGAAGGGGTTGGGGGCGGATATTGTCCATGGTGGTGGAAAATGGGCACTGGTGGAGGGATGGGTATTTGATCATTGTATGACCGAAACCCAAGCACAAAGATTTGTAAATCTACAACTGTACCTCATGGTGCTTCACTAATAAAATTTAAAAAAAAATAGAATTTACAAAGAACTATAAAATCTCCCATTAAAAAAACAAAAACAAAGCAATTCTAAGAAAGAAAAATAGAGGCATTACTCTTCCTGACTTCAAACTACAGTACAAACCAATGACAATTAAAAAGATATAGTATGGGGGAGGGCTGGGAAGAGATACAGCGATGACGATGACCTGATGGGATCCAACTCCTGAGCCACCACCACATAACTGTCCTCTGAGTATCACAGGGTGCAGCCCAAGAGGCCCCAAGCACCTGCAGGGTGGCCCAGGCAATTCCCTAGATGGCATGGCTGTGGCTGCATGGCATCCTAACATCCCTGCATAGAACCTCTGGTGGGCACTACTTGCATGACACTCCCTCCTCCCCCAGATATGGTATTATGACAAAGGAATAGAGACGAGATCTCACAAGTAAACATTCATATATGTGAACTTCTGTAAGAAAAGAAGTTAAGTTAATACAACAGAGCAAAGAATAGTCTTGTCAGAGAATGGCAGTTGAAAACCTATAAGACACACATATGTTAACTCAAAATGGACTAAAAGACCTCAATAATAGAGCTCAAAGTATGAAATACACAAGGTGAGACACTACCAGATCTCACATCACAGGCATTTGGAGACATAGTGGCAAGGGAAACAAAAGAATGTGACACATCCTCTACACTGTTGTTACATCTGTAGATTGGCACCCAGCCCATGAATCCTTTTTGAAAACCATTATTCTATACCCCAAAAGAAACTACGGCAAACACTAAAAGGCAGCTTAAATCACACCATACATCTCATAAAGGTTGATATTCAAAAGAAATAAGAAACCCAATCAGAAATAGGTGTAAGACAAAATACACACTACTTTGGGTGGAAAGGGTAATGGGCCACACCTGGCTGTACTCAGGACTTATTCCTGGCTCTGCACTCAGGAAACACTGGTTCTGGGGATTGAACCCAGCTCAGCTGCGTGGAAGTCAAACCCTCTACCTCTAGGACCTGTAAATAAACACTTCTTTAAGATGACATAGAGATGATCCCACCCACACAAGAAATAATGCTCAACAATACTTATCAGGGAAATGCAAATCAAAACTACGCATCACCTCATGTTGATGAGACTGACCAGTAGCAGAAAGACTAGAAGCAAAAAGAGTTAACACTGGGGGAAAAAAGGAATTCTGGTTTGAGGCTGGTAGAAATTAAAAACACAGGATAAGATCCACAGTATAATAGGTAGAGTTCTTGTCTTGCAAGTAGCCAATCAGAGTTCAATCCCTGGCACCCTATATGGTCACCCAGTCTAGCCAGGAGTGCCCCTGAGTAGAGAACCTTAAGTAAGACCTGAGCACAGCCAGATATGATCCAAAACCAGAACAAAACAAAAAAGATAAAGGTGAGAGATATGGCAATGATAGAGCACCTGTCCTTCTTAAGAGTTGAGATGAAAGGAAGGATGGATGGATGGATGATGACCCAGGAATTTATTCAAAGGACAAGAACAATTGGGGTGGATATTTGCAACAATATATTCTTAGTAGCACTGTTCACAACAACCAAACATGAAGTCAGCCTAACTGCCCATCAACTACTGAATAGAGATCTGCCTACAGAGGATACCTCTTTAAAAAACAGAAGTCTGCTGTGAGAAACAAAACAGATGAACCTTGAAATTATGCTAAGATAAAGTAAGTAGAAGAAAATTATCCAGTGGCTATATGTGAAATCTACCTAAAGCATCCAAAACAGTGAAAAGTCAATAAAACTATAGTGGGGAAAAGGGAAGGGGTGGGTAGAGGTCTTTTTGTTGGTAGGATAGTTAGAACTTCGCCGGTAGGTATGGAGAATCCTATACACAAAAGTGTTAAAATATACCCCCTGAATCCTGTATTGTAATAAACTAATGATATATCAAAAGAATAAAAAGATAATTTAAAAAAACCCACAGCAAAAACTAGTGGGACTTCTCAGTACAGCATGGTATTGATTTACAATCCCCTCACCCCCATTCTAGTTTTCTTTTTCATTCTACAGAGCAAGTATTTTACAAGTAGGGGTTCTGAAAGCATCCTTAACAAAACTATATTGAAAAATTATATGACTGTGTTTTAAAGCAACACTACTACATAGGGAAAGAACTATCCCAAAACAACAGATGATACCCTGGGTTTAGTTTTAATAATGGTTAAGGATTTATTTTGTCGAACACAAGTCTCAAAAGATGCCTGTTCTGGGAACCCCAGAGTTTCCTATTCCAGGCAGTCCAGAATACAATGGAAAGGCCACCACTATGTACATGTAACTAAACAAGCTGTTATGTCAATAATTTAAGCCAAATAGTCTAAAACAGACTGTAAAACTGGGCTCTACCCGCTTCATTAGAAACTAGAGATAGCAAACAATCTTCACCTGCCATCTTTGTACAGCAAAAAATAACTCAACAAAGGCACTGCATTGTCATACTTTATCATTAGTGTTGGCCAGAAACTGGGACGTGTATGGTGCCCTTGGGATGGAAGAATCAAGAACAAATTAAGTTTTTTCTAAATTCAGAAGTAAATAGATGTAAAAACGGAGTTTAAAATCTCTAGTGAATGACTGGGATAGTACAGTAAGAGTCATTTACAATGAATTAGACTTGTTTTCTTTTCAGATAACAGCTTCCCCAACTATTTAAGGGAAACAAGTCATCTTTGCACACACCTACTAGTTACACAAAGGCCAATTAACCTGCTAGTTCCGTGCTTCTCTTATAAAGAAAACTGTAATTCTGGGAGGAAACTATCAAAAACGCAGGAGATAATAATCTACCATTTTAAGTCTTTAAAATTTCCGATGTGTTGCAATGAACTTCCCTCATTCAAAACTTTTCTGCCGTTACACCTTCACAAATCTAACATTTCTACCTAGCAACACCAACTTTACCATACATTTCACTGATAACACTGACTTTCTGTAGCACAAACGAGACACGGTAAAGTCTGACCAAGCCAGAAAACACACATACACACACATCATGGAAACCAGGGGCGGGAAAAAAAAAAGGGAAAAAGTGGGTACACCAATCATTTTCCCGCACCAGAACAAAAAAAGTGGGTCCCCTCCAGCCATTCTCCGCACAAAACGCTCCAGGAAGTCCCTCATCAGTTGGATCTCGAGTAACAGAATCATACTGGATTGACAAGTTTTAAATAAAGGTTGCCTGTCCCCTCTCTCTCTCTCTCTCTCTCTCTCTCTCTCTCTCTCTCTCTCTCTCTCTCTCTCTTTCTTTCTTTCCACCTGGTTCTTTCACAATCCACCTTCTCTCCCTCCTTCCCAAACTAGGGCCGCGGAATTGCCAGACTCTGCTCCCAGGACCCCGACATCCCGAGAAGACCCTAAGGGGGAGGGGGGATAGGGGGAAAAAAGCGCGTCCCGAAGGGCTCCCCGCCCAGTCCACAAACCAGAGCGGCCACTCCCGAGCCACACGGTCCGGCAGGCAGGGCGGCCCCGGCGGTTACGGTGTCCACGCACCCGCCGAGCTTACACCGCGAACCTTCTAGCTCGCCACCCCGCCCCCACCCCCGCCCCTGCCAAGTCAGGTAACGAAGGGAGCACTTTCCACCTCGGCACGCGGCGCGGGAGCACCACAAACCCTCCGCCCGCGCCTCGGAACCAACCGACGGGCTACGGAAGTCCTCGGTCCGCCACCCTGAAGCGCAGACGGACGAACGGACGCCCGAGACCTTCCAGCCCCTCTTTTCCCGCTTTCCCCCCAACTTCCGGGAAGAGCCACCCGGCGAAACAATCACCCCCTCCTCGCGGTGGGACACCGGAGCGACCCCCGCCGGGGCGATGCGGGCTTCTCGCCAACTACGGAGGCGCGTCGCCTCAGCCCCTCAGCCAAGCCCGCCGCCGCCTTCAAAGATGAGGGGAGGAAAAGAAAGAAGAAAAACGCCTCACACGCCCTCAGGAGAGGAGGGCGATTTGGGGAAAACCCTGAGGTGGGGAGGGGAAATACTTGGGAACAGGGCACCTCGCGCTGGGGGGAGGGGGGGAAGTCGCCCTCGGTGGCCCTAGGCTGTCCACCCCGCGCCCAGAGCCCCGACGGGACCCGGCCAGGCCGCCATGTTGCCCGAACACGGCCAACCCCGGTCCCGAGCACCGCGAGCGCCCAGCGCGGCTCCGGCCGGGCAGAGGCGGCGTCGGGCGAGCAGCGCAGGGAGCCCGCTGGACCCGAGCCTACCGGGGTCGACCGTCGTGTGGGAGGTGTGGGTGGTCGTCGTCGGTTGGGGGGTCGTGGTCTTCGGGGGCTCCGGCGAGGGGGGAGCCGTCGTCGTCGTCGTCGCCGCCGTCTTCGTCGTCGTCTGGTTGCCTATGGACGTGTCCGCTGAGGTGGGAGTCGCTGGAGATGAGCTCTGACCCACGGCCGGCATGGGCACACACAGCACGGCCAGGCAGGCGGCCGCCCAGAGCAGCCGGCGGGAGACAGGCGACATCGCGTCCTCGCTCCTGGAGTTCCGGGCAAAGCTGCAGCACCGCGCTCACACGCACACAAGAAAACACACGCGCGCCCAGCGCTCGCCGCCAGCCCTCAGCTTCCCCTTGCGGCGCCGCCTCCGAGACTCCGCTTCCCCGCCCCCCACGGGAGCGCGCCGGGGTCACGTGAACTCTCCCGGGGCCACGCGCGCGCGCGTGGGCAGGGCCTAGCAAGACCAACGGAAATCCCGCGGTGGGGGGGGGGGGTCTGCGGGGGGGAGGGCGTCGGGAGGAAACCGGGAGATGCCGCCTCCCCCAAGCGTCCGGATGATGGGGAAGAGGCTGGTCAGGCACAGGACGGCGTTTCTTGGCCACGCCGGGCGCGGGTGGTCTTGTCCGTTTCCCGGAGGTAGGGAAGCTCCCACCCCTGGCTTGGATGAAACTACCTCCGTGACGTGGCAGCCCGCGGCCCCCTGGAACACCCGGAGGCCGTAATTCCGCTGCGCCACGTGACTGCTCGGGGCCGCGCCCCCCTGACTGGGGTTTGAGGGGGGCGGGAGCTGTAGCTGTATCCTAAGAGCGCACGCAGGAATTGGACAGGAGTAAAGTTTGTGCCCTGCCCCGTGTTTCTTAGGTGCTTGAGTAGGTCCTTAATAGAGGATGTGTCGCACCCACGCGCGCGCGCGCGCGCACACACACACACACACACACACACAGGGTTTTTTTTTTTTTTTAGTAATCGATTTTGCTTAAAGTTCGTCTCTGATGTGTCCCACCCCCCTGTCCCCGAGAACTGGAAACACCACGTGGTCACTGAGTCTCAGCTCGGCCGGCCACGTATTAAGGAGACTGAAGCCAGAGCTGTCTCTGTGTGTCACCCTTTTCTTTCCACTCCCGACGCTTCCTAATTACTCGCTACTTCAGCCAACCGTAGCAACCAGAGCATCATCAGAATTACAGATGATGTGGGATGGAAAGCTATCTGATCCTTCTCCACCCACAGCTTGACACGCGAAGAAACCGAAACTCAGAAAAAGTGGCTTGACCGCAACACCCTGCCATTAAGAGCGCTGCGCGTTCGAAATCCCCGAGTGTCTTCTCATTGCTCAGGCATGTAGTGTGGGTGAGCGCCACCTGCCGTCCAATCTCACAAAAGACCGGGATAGCCGTGCTTGGAATCAGATGGTGAGAATTAGATTATAAAAGCTGTATTTAATGCCGTCTTTATCAGCTATTTTGTATTTGTCCCGCAGTTTTTATTTTGCACGATTATCTTAGTGAAGTAACACAAACACGGAGTCTTGTGATGTCTGCTTTAACACCCTGAAAATTTGACTGCATAAAGCACTTATATGGGGGTGCAATTCTAGGCCTTAAGACTTTGTTTAGTCTTTTATAACAGGGAGATCGTACACTTTTTCTTTTGTTTGTTTTTGGTTTTGTTTTTCTGAGGGGATGATTCCCAAGCAATGCTCAGGAGACAGGAGGCTGCTCTTGGTGATCATCTTGGCCTGTGATGCTGCCTATACTTGTAGCTGGAGACTGAGGGGGATGGTCAGGTGGTGTGGGGAGTGAAATCCCAGCCTCCTGCATGAGAGTCATGTGTACGTTTAAGAAGTGCTGGTTTATTAGAGAGAGATATGCAGGAGGAAACTCACCTGCTTCGTATGCTGCTGCAGAGGCCCTGAGCACAGCAAGATGTGGTCCCAAGCACACACCCCCAGAAGAATGTTCCCTACTTTATTTCTAATGGGCTGGGGGCTGGAGCAATAGCACAGTGGGTAAGGCGTTTGCCTTGCACGCGGCCAAGCCGGTTGGCCAAGGTTCGATTCCTCCGCCCCTCTTGGAGAGCCTGGTAAGCTACTAGTGACGTATTCGATGTGCCAAATACAATAACAACAAGTCTCACAATGGAGACGTTACTGGGTCTGCTCGATAAAATCGATGAAAAAAAAGGGATGGAGTGATAACCCAGCGGATAGGGTGTTTGCCTTGCACGCAGCTGACCCAGGTTCAATTCCTCCGCCCCTCTCGGAGAGCCTGGCAAGCTACCAAGAGTATCTCGCCCGCATGGCAGAGCCTTGCAAGCTCCTCGTGACGTATTCGATATGCCAAAAACAGTAACAACAAGTCTCACAATTTGTTGTGAGACATTACTGGTGCCCGCTCAAGCAAATCGACGAACAGCGGGAGGACAGTGCTGCAGTTTATTTCTAATATTTCCACCATTGCAGAGCAAGAACTGGCATCTGTAATACAGCTTAACAACATGTAGTAAACTTCACGTAGTATTTGTTTTACATTTTCAACTGAGAAGGATTCTAATATATCAGGCTAATTGTGAGTTATCTAATGCTACTATTAACACAGGTTAGAACTGATATGAAAATACTAATACTAGCAGTGCTGTCAGAGGTGGCTTTCCACTTGGACTCTGAATAACCTTTCAATGACTGTTCCAGGCTTTCAGAGGAAAGCACAACTCTTTTTGCATTGCATTCCAAGTTGGTTGAACATTGGAACCACTAAGGGAGATGTGAAAAAACTGATGCCCTAGTACTGATTAAATAAGCTTGAAAGTAATGCCTTAACATGAGGGTTGTTGAAGCTCCCTATGTGCTTCTAATCTGCAATTTACGTTGAAAAACCTTACTTTACTCTTGCCTTTCAAAGTGAGGTTCCTGAGCCAATATCATTAGTACCACCTCAAGATTTGTTAAAAGTGTGAAATCTCAGGCCTCCCCTCCAATCTCCCTGGAATCACATCCTGAATTTTTATTTTGTTTTGGGGCCACGCGTTGTGTTCTGTGCTTAGGGATTACTCCTGGTGTGACCTACTTTATTTTACATTGTCTGTTTTATTTATTTATTTTAATTTCTAATGTGCTGGAATGATAGCACAGTGGGTAGGGCATTTGCCTTGCATGCAGCCGACCGGGCCGACCGAATTTGATTCCTCCGCCCCTCTTGGAGAGCCTGGCAAGCTACTGAGAGTATCTCTCCCTCACAGCAAAGCCTGGCAAACTACCCGTGACGTATTCGATATGCCAAACACAGTAACAAGTCTCACAATGGAGACGTTACTGGGCCCACTCAAGCAAACTGATGAACAACGAGCAGACAGTGACAGTGATAGGGCACTGCCCCGTGTCACTATTTGTGAAGGCTCCCCAGGCCATTGTCACACATGTCATGTCAGTGAAAGTGACATTTGAGGAAATAACACAAAACTTCTGGGTATACAGGAGTCAAGGAGCACGGCCTGCAACTAGATCTAGCACCAGAAGCATTTCTCTTTCTACTATGCTTCAAATCTAGGTGTGTTAGAGCTTTATTTCAATCTTCAGTCATCTCAAAACTATATAAAACCCAGCTCCCGGAAGCGGACATCTTATTATCTCATTCTTACCTTGGACAAACTGGCAGGCTACCGAATGTAACCTGCCCACACAGCAGAGTCTGGCAAACTCCCCGTGGCGTACCCAATATGCCAAATACCAGTAACAATGATGGGTCTCATTCTCCTAACCCTGAAAGAGCCTTGAGTATGGCACTTTTTTAAAAATCTCAGGGCTAGGACGAAGGAGACGTTACTGGGTCCTGCTCGAGGCAATCGATGAACAACAGGATGGTCGTGATTGTGATCGATCTCAAAACTTCAGAAAACAAAAAGAAACTTTTCACCCTGTCTCATTACTTACTGCTTCAAGATTCCAGCTTACCTCTCCCCGCAGAACCTCTCTGATACCTTATGTGCCTGACTGGAAGCCATTGTGCCCCTCCCAATCCTGATATGGTAAGGTGCTTTTCAATACACCTCAAGATGAATAGTCTTGTCTAGCATGTGCCCTACTGGAATCCATTCCTGATATCACATGGTTCACCAGCACTACGGGTTACAGCCCTGAATAATCTCTGAGCATCACTGGTGTGGGCTGAAGACCCCAATACCATGGGATTGGCCCTTGGCTAAAAATCACAGGTGGGCTAGAACCTCCTGAGCACTGAGTAGGAGTACCCTCCCCCAAAATATTCAAGTGATTCTGTGCTGCCTGGTAAAGAGCACTTCCCTGGAGAGTCCAAGTGTCCCACACCCTCCCCAAAGATCCCAGGCTGCCCTGCTGCCCCTGGGGCTGGAGGCGCACATGCTTCCCAGCCAGAAGCTTCAGGACCCCTGTGCCAGAAGGCCAAGCACACCCTACTAAAAAGAACCGTCGGGGGAGAATATGGGATGCCAGGGATCAGCCTCAGGCCATGTGCAAGGCAAGCTCCCAACCTACTGTACTATCCCCAGATATCTATTTTAATTGAGGACATACCTTAATTTAAAAGATGTTAGAATAGGCAATACTGAGTATAAAGGGACTTAAGTGTCTCAGAATGATGATGATAATGATGTTTCTGTCTGTGGCAGTCTGGTGAAGAGGTAGCAGGGCAATTTCCTGCTATTTCCAGGTGCTTTTCAGGCTGGTCTAGTAATGAAAACAGCATCAGACAGATTAGCAGAAGAAAAAAAATCAACTTAACCACATATGTTTGGGGAATTTACATAGAGAATAAGTTTATTTCATTGGAGATTTAGTGTATGCATCCTGAGTTAGGGGCCAGAGATAGAGAGGGTAAGCATTTGTCTTGCATGCAGCCAGCCCAGGTTTGAACCCCAGCACCACATACAGTCCCCTAAGACTGCCAGGAATGATCACTGAGTGAAGAGCTATGAGTAAGTCCTGAGCACAGTTGGGGATATCCCCCAAACCTAAATAAATAAATAAAAATCCTGAGTCAAGAAGGGCTTGAGCGATAGCACAGTGGTAGGGCGTTTGCCTTGCACACAGCCAGCATGGCCAACCCAAGTTCGATTCCTCCGCCCCTCTCGGAGAGCCCGGCAAGCTACCGAGAGTATCTCGCCCGCACGGCAGAGCCTGGCAAGCTCCCCGTGATGTATTCGATATGCCAGACACAGTAACAACAAAGTCTCCAATGGAGACGTTACTGGGCCCGCTCGAGCAAATCGTTGATCAACGGGAGGGCCCTGAGTCAAGAAATGAAATACAAGTATTAGTCTTCAATGTGAAAGGAAAGGGGTGCTTCTAATGGCAAAAAAGAAAAGAAAGGGAAAAAGATGTTCT